ATGATTTTGGATTTTTTTTGTTTTTTTGTTTTTTTTGTTTTGTTTTTTGAGACAGGGTTTCTCTGTGTAGCCCTGGCTGTCCTGGGTCTCACTCTGTAGACCAGGCTGGCCTCGAACTCAGAAATCCACCTGCCTCTGCCTCCCAAGTACTGGGATTAAAGGCGTGTGCCACCACTGCCCGGATGATTCTGGATTTTTTTTAATCTGCCTACCTCTCTCAAATATTGGGATCACAGGTGTGTGTGTGTGTGTGTCTGTGTGTGTGTATGTATGTGTCTGTGTGTGTGTTTGTATGTGTGTGTCTGTGTTTGTGTGCTATGTGCCAGGTTTATACAGTGCTAGGACGAAACCCAAGGCTTTGAAAATGCTATGCAAGCACTCTACAAGTTGAGCTGTGTTCCCAACGCTTCTGGTAACTTCTTTGAGATTTATTTTGTGTGTGTATGGTATCCTGTATGTATGTCTGTGCATATTGTGTGTATGCAGTGATCCAGAAGAGGATATTGGATTCTCTGGAAATGGAGTTCCTGACAGTTGGTAGCTGACATATAGGTGCTAGGAATCAAAACCAGATCTTCCAGTAGAGCAGCCGGTGCTCTAACCACTAAGTTCTCCAGCCCCTGCCCTTTCTGGTTGTTTTAGCCTCTGAAGTGAGCAGCTTGAGGATTGCTTGCTATATCTTGAACACTAATGGTAACACAAGTGTTTGAAAGGTGTTTGTTTGTTTGTTTGTTCATTACTTTTATTCCGTGTTTATGAATGTTTTGCCTGTATTATATGTGTGTGCATCATGGGTATGCCTGGTGCCATCAGAGGCCAGAAGAGGGAATCTGACCCTCTGGAAACAGAATTACAGAGAGTGGTGAGCTCTTACATGAGTATTTGGAATCGAACCTGGGTCCTCTGGAAGTGCAACAAGTGCTCTGAACCACTGAGCCAACCCAGGTGTGGTGCACATCTGTAATCTCAACACTTGAGAAATAGAAGCAGGAGGATCTGTAGTTCAAGGATGTTCTTAGTTACAGTAGATTTGAATCAAGCCTGGGCTACATAAGACTTTGTTGTTATAACAATTAATTAACAACAACAAAGCCATCTTGAATTGTCTCTTTCAGAATCAGCCTCCCCTCCCCCAACAGCCCAGCGCTCTTCTCTGCTCTAACACCACCACATTGCCTCATATTTCTGTGCACAAATTTCTCCGTCTATAAATGGATAAAACAGTGTCACATACCTTTGGTGCCTATGCTGACATTTAAACAAGGCAACGTGTAGCCAGGAGTGGTGTTTAATCCCAGTACTTGGGAGGCAAAGGCAGGTGGATCTCTGTGAGTTCAAGGCCAGCCTGATCTACGTAGCAAGTTCCAGGACAGCCAGGCCTACATAATAGAAAGACCCTATCTCAAAATAAACAAACAAACAATGTGTAGGGCATAGTTCAATAGCAAAATGTTGTCATGGTCCTTTTTGGGTGACCGTTCTGGGTCCAGAGAATAAATGGCTTCTCACAGAACTGGAGCCAAAGCCAAGGTTGAAACTCTGACCACGCTGGGACCCTTTGTTTTGCATCACATTGGCGCTGTCTCCTGTCTCTCAGGCAGCCATGCTTCTGCTTGGGCTTTTGCTGTCACTGTGATTGTCTCTTTGTACGTTTGTGTGTAGTTGTAGAGGTCAGAGGTCAGCCTTGGAAGTCTGGCTAGGGTGATGAATGGTAAATAGAAACTAGGCTTGCCATGAATTGAGCTGAACCATGCAGAATCCTATGACAACTAAGAGCTGCTAGAGAAAGGAGCCCCAGTGGAGACTGTGCACGGCAGCTCCATACATTACAAATTTCTTCCTAACATAGACGGGAGCTGAATACACTAAGTATTAGTGGACTGAAGGTTTGAGTAGGTACCTCAGTGGTAGAGCCCTTCTCTAACTCACACATATAATACATATATATATGAATATATAGTAGACTAATATTAATATATAGATACTAATATTAGACTAATATATTACTACTAATAATATATAATAGTATGATATATAACTAATATTATAGGCTTATATATATTAGACTTATATATACATACGCATATACATGTACAGTACACACAAACATACTCACACATTCAGTACGTTGGGATCCAGAGACCTTTGGAAACACCACCATCAACCTGCCTTCTTTAAAGATAAGAAAAGAAAAACCCAGAAGGAAAAGACTTAGTGATAAGACAGGAACTAGAACACAGCCCCTGGCCCGCCATTCCCATTCCCAGGCAAAAGCAACCAGGCTGCTGGGCAACAGCTCAGCGGAAGAGCATTCCCTTGGTTTGTCAAAATGTTCTGGACGCCAGCACAAACACACACAAAAAAATTAATTCAGCCATTTTGGAGGCATCAAAAAAAAGTTTCCCACGGTGGGTGCTAAAGTCAGGCTTCCTTCCAGTCCCCTCCTCGGGTAGAGCAGCAGAGGCCATCTCTTCTGTGACCCTCTTTCACTTCACACTTTCACTTCACGTGAAAACAAAACCCTGAAAACATGCCACACCTTTTCCTGAAAGTTTCCAGACCCATGTTCCTTCCCCAGTAAGTCAGGTTGAGCCAGGGTCCCAGCTACAGCCTCAGACATCCACCTGCAGGGACACACTGCCAGGGACCGGAGTTCCTGGGCTAGGCATTTCCTGGAGGTGTGAAAACCAGGGCTGGTTGGCTCTCTTTTGTCCTAACATCTGTTCAACATCAGATTATCGCAAGTTCTATGTCATGTTCTCGCACACACATGTGGCTGTGAAGGTTTGGAAGCACACAGACCGGTTGATAAGAAAGATAAATTACCAGGCCTGACTCAGGCTACATAGCAAGACATGTGTTTCCAAAATCTAAATGTTAGGGTCCAAAAATCCAAAACAACCCAAGCAGTCACAGAGTGCAGAAAAGCAAGATCTTTATTTGAATTAGACAGCCAGGCAACAGCACAGACTCGGGAGCTGACTGCATCTTCAAACGTTCCTCTTAGTAAGAATTTAAACAGATGAAAAAATGCATTGTATCCAGGCCGCCACCGATTAATCAGGGCCAGAGAATAGTCCCAGGAGCTGATCTGCCACCCAAGCCAGAATACTACAGAGTTTGTAAGCCTGAAATCCACAATCATCCGTGCCAACTTACCCCACCAATCAGGATTTAGGGATAGGGGACTTCCTTAGGAACATGCCTTTGTGGTACACCTATCCTGCTCCCATTGGTTGGGGTATTCAGTGGTAGCAGGGTAACTTGCCTAACATTCATGCCTTAACTTGCCAAGTAGGGTGTCAGTTACCCAGGCAGCTCTTGGATATTTAAACTTCATTTGACCCTTATTCAAAGTAGAATGTCTTCTATTTGGTTCCTTCTTACACAAAAACAACAACAACAACAACAAAATAGGAGGATGAGAAGTTCAAGGATAGCTTTGACCACATTCTGAGTTCCAGAATAGCCTGGACTAGATGTAGCCCTTTCTGAGAACGGACATGGTTCTGTGGTCAAAAGGGCTTGGTACACAAGCCTAATGACCTGACTTCAGTTCTCCAGCCCCACAGGAGGTGTGTGGTGGCATCTGAGCATCTCTGCTCACACATATGGTAATAATAAGTAATAAAGCCGGGCGGTGGTGGCGCACGCCTTTAATCCCAGCACTTGGGAGGCAGAGGCAGGTGGATTTCTGAGTTCGAGGCCAGCCTGGTCTATAGAGTGAGTTCCAGGACAGCCAGGGCTACACAGAGAAACCCTGTCTCAAAAAACCAAAAAAAAAAAAAAAAATAATAAGTAATAAATAAGTAAAATTTAAAGCTAAAAATACTAGGGACAATAATAATAAAATAAAACATGAATCCTTTCTCCTGAAAATATATATAGGCATTAGGTTTATATAGTTAGTTGGTTAGGGCAGGCAGGTGTGGTTGCATATGCTTTAATCTCAGCATTGGAGGACTAAAGGAAGCAGAGGCAGGCAGATCTCTGAGTTCAAGCCTAGCCAGGTCTGCAGAGTGAGTTCCTGGACAGCCAGGGCTACACAGAGAAGCCTTGTCTCAGAAAACCAGATAGATAGACAGATAGTTAGATGGACATGTAGATAGATAGATAGATAGATAGATAGATAGATAGATAGATAGATAGATAGATAGACAGAGATAGTAAAAATAGTTTAAAAACATTTATTCAGATTTATTTTTATGTGTATAAGTGTTTTGCTTTCATGTTTGTCTATGTATCATGTGTATGCCTAGTGTTTGTGGCGGTCAGAAGAAGGCATTGATACCCTAGAACTGGAACTAAAGACACCTGTGAGCTGCTATTTGGGTTCTGGGAATCAAACTTGGGTTCCCTGCAAGAATGGCCAGTGCTGTTACTCTCTAAGCTATCTCTACCAGCTCCACGCATGTCGGGTGTGTGTGTGTGTGTGTGTGTGTGTACTATCAATTGTTTCTGAGACATAGTCTTACTATGTAGCTGACCAGGAACTTGCCACATAGAACAGGCTGTCCTCAGACTCATAGAGTCTGCCTCTGCTTCCCAAGTGCTAAGATTAAAGGTGTGTGCCACCATAGCAAGTGCTAAGATTAAAGGTGTGTGCCACCATAGCAAGCTGGATAGATCTTATACACATTTTGAAAGGATCAAAAAGAACTTGCTAGTTCCCAGTTTCAAAAACTAGAATGAATGTCTCTGGTGCACTTGGCCTCCCTAAGAATGGGTGGGTATTGTTATTGTCACTTCACCAGTGAGAAGAGGGACTTGCCCAAAGTCACGTGACGGGCGACAGCGACAGATCCAGAGCAGCTACTTGTACATCAAACACATCCTTGCCCTAGAAATAGGTCTTCTAGAAGGCAGCCATGTGACTTCCAGAGGGTATCTCTATCTGCGTGTAGACAGGGAGCCGGGCTTCCTGTTGCTGTGTGCATCCTGTTGTTCTCTTGTTAGGATGTCCATTAAATGCATGCGTTTCCTTTCCTTACTCTGGACAGTAACAGTCGTCTGCAGCCACGCTGTGCCAAGTGAGGAGAGGCATAGGCACCAGCCATTGCCACCCAGCAAACATCTCTGCTGACTCTGAACGGGGTAAGGCATTCCCTTACAGCTAGTTAGTTAGTTAGTTAGTTTGTTTGTTTGTTTGTTTGTTTGAGACAGAGTTTTGCTATGTTGTCTAAGCTGGCCTTGAACTCATTATGTTACTCAACATTAAAGTTACAGCAGCCCCAGCCTCAGAACTCACTAGATCCTCAAACACACAGCAGTCTGGCCTCAGCCTCCTGAGTGATAGGATCACAGGTATGTGCCACCATGCCTGGCAATCCCTACCAGAACATACATTTATTTATGTATTTATTTATTTATGTAACTTTTTAAAATTATTTATTTTTTAAAATTTTTAAAATTTTATTTTATTTTTTACTTACTTATCATTAGTGTGTGTGGAAGAGGTATTTGCGGATATGGGTGCAGGTATCAGATGTCGTGTGTCCTGCTCTGCTGATACCTAACTTACTCCTTTGTAACAAGGTCTCTGCTGAGCCCAGAGCTAGGCGGGCAGCCTGCAAACTCCAGTGATCCTTCTGTCTGCTCCAGACAGTGCTGAAGTTATGGGTGTGTGTGTGGCCAGTCCCAGTGTTTTATGTGAGTGCTGGGAAGTAACTCAGGTCCTTAAGGGTGTCTTGTCCACTCCGCCATCTCCCCAGCCAGCACACTTGCAAAGTTGAATTCTTATATTATAGTGTTGTATGGATGAAACCAAATTATGGCTGGGAGTAATATTTTTAAATTGTATTACAGTTTGATTTACGTATTTTGTGTGCATGTGTGTATGTATGCATGTGAGTATGCGTGTCACAGCCGGCTTCTGGAGGCCAGAGGACAACTTGCTTTGTTAACTCTGTCCTTCCATCTTTATGTGGGTCCAGCGGTTCCAACTCAGATTGTCTGGCAGGCACCTTTACCAACTAATCTGTCTCTCCAGCTCCAGGAGCAATAGTTTGTAGAAATTAAACTCTATACTCTCGGTTATTGATGCAGTTGAGGGGCAGGTAGCATGAAAACTGACCCACGCGTGGAGAGCATGCTGGGAGGCTGGTACATGGGGGACAGGCTTTGGAAGGCTCCACTGAACAGATGAAGCAAAGGCAAGTCCCAGAGGGCTATGAAGCTGGAGGAGGGCCTGGCGGTCAGAAAGCATGTTTCTCCAGGAGCAGCAGATGGCCAGCTGGGCGGGGTTTGGGGGCTCGAGGGGCTTGGGTCCATGCCTTTGTAGTACAGTGCACTTCTGTGAACCCTTTATGTTCAGACAGCCCAGTGTACTGAGTGGACAGTGGACTAGGCTGCCCCATAAACACACAACAGAAGTCCTACACGTCACTAAAATATTTTCTATGTCCACAGAGAAAAAGAAATAGGGATGGGGAAATACACACACAGACACACACACACACACACACACACACACACACACACACACAGGCACACAGTATATTCTGTTTTAAAAATAAGGAAAAATATGTCAGTGGTAAGCCTTTTGTGAATGTGCAAGGCCTTAGATTTGACTCCCGACACCACAAAGATAAATACAAAATAGAGCTCGGTGGTAGTGGCTCACATCTTTAATCCTAGCACTTGAGAGGCAGAGGCAGGTGGATGCCTATGAGTTCAAAGCCAGCCTGGTCTACATAGAGAGGCCCTCTCTCGAAGAAATAAAAACTGAACGAATAATAACCAGAAACAGAAATAGATTAAATATATACATATATCAGTTTATCAGTTCACAATGTCTGACTTCCTCTGTTCCTTCCTAGGCTGAATTTCCTCCTGCTAAAAAGATAAATGATTTTTTTTTGGTAAGGTCTCTTAGGGGACAGTTTTATGGGGGGGGGATTGACTGGTTTGTTGGGTACAGATAAAATTAGCCATGGCTGGCTTCGAATTCTATATGGACTACACGTTATTTATTTGTTCATTGATTTTTGAGACAAGGTATCCCTAGGCCATCAGGACTGGGCCTGAACTCAGTCTGTAATCCAGACAGGGCTTCTGAGTCGCTGAGACAGACCTAGTCACCAGATGTCCTCCTCATCCTTCTATGTGGGTTAATTTTGAAATAATATTTATTGCCTTTATTAATTCCCAGCACTGGGAGGCAGAAGCAGGTGGGTCTCTGAGTTCTAGGCCAGCCTGATTTACAAATCAGGCTCCAATACAGCCAGGGCTACACAGAGAAACCCTGTCTTGGGAAAACCAAAAAGCTGGGCAGTCGTGACTCATGCCCTTAATCCCAGCACTAGGAGGTAGAGGCATGAGTTTAAGGCCAGCCTGATCTACAGAGCGAGTTCCAGGATAGCCAGAGCTACATGGAGAAACCCTGTCTCAATAAAACAAAATTATATTTGTTTATTTATCCATTCATTTATTCGTGTGTGTGTGTGTGTGTGTGTGTGTGTGGTGTGTGTGTTGATGTGTTGGGAGAGATGCCATGGTATACATGTGGAAGTAAGACGACAATTTTCATTCTACCACATGAAGCCCAGGGATTGAACCCAGTGTTGGGTTGTACATCAAGAGTCTTTCTCTACCTATGGAGCTATCTCATTCACCTCTGGTATTTATGTATGTATGTATGTATGTATGTATGTATGTATGTATGTATGTATGTCCTGGAACTAGCTCAATAGACCAGGCTGGCCTTGAACTCACAGAGACCACCTGGCTCTGCCTCCAGAGTGCTGGGATCAGAGGCATGTGCCACCCCCACCTGGCCTTTCTTTTAATTCTTTATAAAGTATACCCAAGAGTTGCATAAATCTCTTGCAAATGGGAAATATATCCCTACCAGCTGACACATCTGCTAACTCTTGCTTGCTCATTCCTCATTCCTGGGCTTATGAGTTCAAAGTTCATGGCCCTCTAGACGGAATCTTCCCACATTATCTGTTTAGAAAATTTGCCTTTTAAGAGAGATGTTTAATTTGCTTTCTTGTGAAGTTTAATAGTGCTTCATACAATATTCACTTGTTCTAAGTTTTTTCTTCCATATTCAGGACATGCTTATACTTTTTTTTTTTCTTTTTTGGTTTTTCGAGACAGGGTTTCTCTGTGTAGCTCTGGCTGTCCTGGAACTCACTTTGTAGACCAGGCTGGCCTCAAACTCAGAAATCTGCCTTCCTCTGCCTCCCAAGTGCTGGGATTAAAGGTGTGCCCCACCACTGCCCGGCTATGCTTACACTAAAAAATGATTCATTATGTGATATTTAAATTAATGAGACTTCTATATCTTATCTAGTACAGTTATTTTTTTAAGACAGGGTTTCACATAGCCAAAGATGACTTTGAACTTATACCCCTGCCTTCACCACCTCCTAAGTGCTGTGTCTGAGCTACGTTCCCTACGGGGGTATAAAAAGCTTTGGTTTTGAGACAGCTTTTCCCCATGTAGCCCAGGCTAACCGTCAACTCACAGAGATCTGCATACGTCAGCCTGTCGAGTGCTGGGATTAAAAGCATGCACCACTACACTCCATAAAATATTTATCTTTGAGGTGAAGCCAAAGTATTGTCTCCCATCCCCAAACAGTTACCAAAGCTGGAAGAATACAAAAATCAAAATGAGATATAAGCCAGGTTTGGTGGCACATACCAGTCTGGAATCCCAGCTGCTTTGAAACCTGAAATAGGAGGATCTTGAATCCAAAGCTACCTGTGAGACCATGTGTCAAAAGCAAAAGGGAATGGGACCAGCAAGATGGCCTTAGTGGGTGGAAGTGAGCAGGCGGGAGACCTGAAGACCTGAGTTTGATTCCCAGAACCCATGATAGACGGAGAGAACTGACCTCCACACATACTCTGTGGCACACTCATGCCTGCACATACACATCACATGTGAGCACACATGTGCATACACACGTGCCAGAAACAATAATAATAATAATGATAATAATAATAAGTAAAAGAAAAACAATATCCCTACATCTCAGTTCTGCTTCTAGGTTTTGTTCTCTTAGGTGTTGGCCCTAAGAATTCCCCTTGGTTTCAAAAGGAAGTTTCAGGATTTGTCTCTTTAGAAAACAAAAGACCAAAAAATCTTGCAGGTCACTTCTGCTTGTTTGGAAACAAAAAGACCTGACTTGAAGAAAAAAGCTAAATGCTTGACAGCAAAGTATAAATGGATGTTTCCGGCACCTGGGTAAATGCTTGATTAGTGTCACCTCTCAAGTGACATCGTCACTGCTAACATTCAAGGATTCTTTTCTCCTTATCCATAGCCCAGTCTTCTGCAACAGCTCCAGTAGAAGACACCAAAGCCTGTCCATGGCGGGATGCCGGGAGATGGAGATGACCAACGGCTCCAAGGGTGGTTTGGAGTTCAACCCTATGAAGGAGTACATGATCCTGAGCACTGCGCAGCAGATAGCCGTGGCGGTTCTGTGTACCCTGATGGGGCTGCTGAGCGCCCTGGAGAACATGGCGGTGCTCTATCTTATTCTGTCCTCCCATCGGCTCCGCCGGAAGCCCTCGTACCTACTCATCAGCAGCTTAGCTGGAGCTGACTTCCTGGCCAGCGTGATCTTTGCCTGCAACTTTGTCATCTTCCATGTCTTCCATGGTGTCGACTCCAAGGCTGTCTTCCTGCTGAAGATCGGCAGTGTGACCATGACCTTCACAGCCTCTGTGGGCAGCCTGCTGCTGACTGCTGTTGACCGATACTTATGTCTGTGCTACCCGCCAACCTACAAAGCTCTAGTCACCCGTGGGAGGGCACTGGTGGCCCTTTGTGTCATGTGGGTCCTCTCGGCATTGATCTCTTACCTGCCGCTCATGGGGTGGACTTGTTGTCCTAGTCCCTGCTCTGAGCTTTTCCCTCTGATCCCCAACGACTACCTACTGGGCTGGCTTCTATTCATTGCCATCCTCTTTTCTGGCATCATCTATACCTATGGGTATGTCCTCTGGAAAGCCCACCAGCATGTAGCCAGCTTGGCCGAGCACCAGGACAGGCAGGTGCCTGGGATATCTCGGATGCGACTAGATGTGAGGTTAGCCAAGACTCTGGGCCTGGTCCTGGCTGTGCTGCTCGTATGCTGGTTTCCTGCACTGGCTCTCATGGGCCACAGCCTGGTCACTACACTGAGTGACCGGGTCAAGGAGGCCTTCGCCTTCTGTTCCATGCTGTGCCTTGTTAACTCTATGGTCAATCCTATCATTTACGCCCTTCGGAGTGGAGAGATCCGCTCTGCTGCGCAGCACTGCCTGATAGGCTGGAAGAAGTATCTACAGGGCCGTGGATCTGAGGGGAAAGAAGAACCCCCAAGGTCCTCAGTTACTGAGACAGAGGCTGATGTGAAAACCACCACGGGGCCAGGATCCAGAACTCCAGGCTGCTCCAATTGCTGATACCACCCGTCTTTCTATTGGAAACAGCCCAAGTCAGAAGTCAGTTCACTTCCTCAAGGGGAGAGGGATCTTAGACCCTGAGTCTTTCTGAAGCCAGCTCTAGGCTACTGGAAACAGAACCCCTTTTTGCTAAGGAGTGCTGGTTTCATGAGGAAGGTGGCCTGGTCATGCCTACCTTATACAGTCTGTGGAGAGGGGCCTGTAAGAATGGCAGGCTCTGTTCACATCAAATCAGAAAACCCTCCTGACTCCAAAGACCTAGAGGCCAGAGGAGCCTCCAGAGATGATAATAAAGGACTCAGGAGATCTGTGAAGACAAGGGACCTGTTCTCCTGGAGTCTAGAGTACCCTAGCTGTGGGACCACTGCCCACAACTTCATAGATGTTCGTGTCTTCCGTGGTGAGGATTCTAGACTGTCCTGCTGAAGACTGCTGGAGAGACCAGCTACTTCTGGTTCGTCGGTTGGGACTCTGTGGCTCCGGAGCTATGTGAGGCTCCATCTTCAGGCCACCCTTGCCCCTTGAGGGTCAGGAATTATGATGTGCTGAGGACTAAGGACATTTACTCACCTCCTTCAGACAAAGTCAGGGTCAGCTCAGGGTATCCTGTTGAGAAAGGACCCTCCTGACATCCTGATAAGCCTTGAAAGTCATTATGACCTTGTGTCCTTAGGGACCCAGAGGAAGCTGGGTTCCCTGGAGGTACAGTCTTCAGAGAACTGTCTTCCTTGTGACATTTTGCTGTGTCTCACATAGCAGTATCCCAGTCTAGTCTAGTTCCAGTAAAAACAAACAAACAAACTAAGATATTCACAAAGGTTCTTTGGGTCCTAGATTGTTCCTAGTGATGCTTAACTCAGCCCCCCTTGCCTTTTCCACACTCTGGTCCTGAAGGATAAACAGAAGGAGTTGGGAGGGAAGACTTCCTGCTTCTGACTAGGTATCCTTGGTCCACAGCCTTACTCTGTGTCTCTGGGTACCTGCATTTTACCTACAGTAAAGGCTGCATTCCCAACAGATGGAGATTCGAGCCGCTGCTGGTGGTAGGAGGGGTAGGTAGTAAAAGGATTTCTACAGTGCAGCTTGTATGGATCACAGCAGGCCAAGATGGTTCCACGAGGGAGAGTTTATTAAGAGAGTGGGGGGGGGGGAGAGAGAGAGAAGAGTAGAGGATAGGGCCGGCCATGACCACGTGGAGAGAGGGGGAAGAGAAGGGGGGAGGGGAGAGGACAACCTGCAGGTGCTCAGGGTTGAGGAGCAAGAGAGAGAGGAGGGGCCAAGCAGCCCCTTTTATAGTGGGCAGGGTTACCTGCCTGTTGCCAGGTAACTGTGGGGTGGAGCGTACCTGGCTGTTGCCAGGTGACTGTGGAGGTGGAGTTTAACAGATTACTAACAGGTAGCACTGGGGACCACAGACACAGTGAAAGGAAAACTCTTAAACACTTAATACTTTTGCTTTTAGTAGATCCACCCAGCAGACAAGACTTCCCCATTACCCAGAGGAACTAACAAGGTGGTTTCCAGTGCAAAGAAAAATCAGCCTCCCTAATAAAACAGGGCAGTCCACTCCACTAGAAACCCTCTCATATGCCTCTGCAAGAGGACATTTTGTTTTCTCTATGAAGGTCAAGTGAAGGGCACGGTGTCTCATTTTATTCTTCCCAAGACAAGTTCTGTATATCGAAAGCCACTGCAAATTCTAATTGCTATTTGGGAGGATCAGGGGAAGAGGTTGATTTGTCTGTGTTTAGTGTTTTAGACCATATTTCAACATAAACTTGAGAAGGAAGAAACAGAAAATACACCGTGTTTCCTTATTACTCCCCAAAGGAGGAAGTACTTGGTTCCGTCAACATAAACTGATTTCTCCAAGGTGCCAGACGGAGTAGGTGGGGATATGGTTTGCACAGCTGTGAACCCCAGCAACCACCTCAGTTGCTTCTGTGATCTTGGGCAAACCCCGCCCTTTGCCTTGCTTTGGTTTCCTCCCCGGTAAATTGGGAATGGTAGGAAAGATCCCATCAAGGGGCATTAAAACCTCTTATTGCTCTAACATGCTGTGGCTGTCTCTGCAACCACGAGACGGTTGTGCCATATGGATCATGTGACTTCTGGCCCGCCTACTTCCGGCAGCTGTGGACACATACCTATATCATCGGGTGTGTACTAACTGTAGAGGAATTAGGCAACTGGCCAAATGAGTTTTATAGATTTTTCAAGGGCAGGAGGATCTCTTGGCTCTCAATTTTCTGATCCTACATGCCTCCGTGGTCCCCTGTGTGGGGGTCAGTCATGTGTATTTAGTGATTCCGGATCAAGCCTCAGGCCTTCCAGTACACCAAGCAAGGGCTCTACCCTGAACTACCCCACAGCTCCTGAGTCAGGTTTTCTTCAGTTAGATGCTAAGCACTCTGACAGACCCTCAAGGTTTTTGGGGTGCAGCTCAGTCAGTAGAGTGCTTCATTTGCATGAGTTCTCTGGGTTCAAAGGTCAGTACTGTAAAACCAGGAATGGCAGTGCTACTCCGACCTGTAATCTCAGCACTCTTGAGGTAGAAGCCAGAGGATCAGGAATGCAAAGTTACTGTGGCTGTAAGTTTGAAGCCAGCCTGAGCTAGTTGAGATCCCTCCCCCATCTCAAAATAAATTTAAGTTACAATTTTAAGTTAAATTAAAATGTTTAAGTGCCTCAGAGTTCTCAAAGCTAAGTTCAACGGACAAAAGATAGGCCAAAATAATCACGTTTGCCCTTAGTCCTTCAGCAGCCATTTCTCTCCCTCTGCATAAAGCTCCTTCTTATCTTGTTATTTCTAAATCTCTTAAATCACTCTCCAATCTGCTAAGCTCCACCTGCCGGAGGATGAATGTAAAGCACAGAGAACCCACGGCTCCTAAATAGTCACTAAATAAAACGATCTGGTTTCAGCCTTCCCCTGAGGATTGGTGCAAAAACGTGGACTTCTCCCAGTTTTCCCCACCCACTGGATCTTTCCCACTTGCGGGAACCCGGCCATTAAATCCTTCGGGGAGTCTACGGAATTTAGATTCGATATTCAACAGATCAGAGCCGGCAACGCCTCCTTAAGTCTTTCTCCCTTTCAATGACAGAGGGCGCTCCGGAGCCAGCACCTCAGACGGCCTGCGGGACCGCAAGCCTGACCCCGCCCCCTTCCCCTTCCAAGCCAATCGTTACTCTGAGAGGCGGGGCTACTCGCCGGAGCCTGCGTATTAAGAGGGGGGCGGTGCGGGCCCGGAAGCAGGGATGTGGGAGCGGAAAAGTGAATGGCGGGCGGTGGGCTCCGGGCTGCTGCTGCTGGCTGCTGCGGCCCAGGTAGTGGCCCTGGCTCCGCGCCGCTTCACTCCGGACTGGCAGAGCCTGGACTCGCGGCCACTGCCGAGCTGGTTCGACGAGGCCAAGTTCGGGGTGTTCGTGCACTGGGGGGTGTTCTCGGTGCCCGCCTGGGGCAGCGAATGGTTCTGGTGGCACTGGCAGGGCGAGCGGTTACCGGCCTACCAGCGCTTCATAAAAGAAAACTACCCGCCCGGCTTCAGCTACGCCGACTTCGCACCAGAGTTCACAGCGCGCTTCTTCCACCCGGACCAGTGGGCTGAACTCTTCGAGGCTGCCGGGGCCAAGTGAGTGCGGGACAGGCGCGAGGCGGGACCAGGCAGGTCCACGGCTAGCGCTGCCTGACCTCTGGCCCCGGACCCCGCGTTCTGTATCCCGGAGGAAGGAGCACTGATCCAAAGAAGAGAATCCAACTGAGGATCAGTTAAAAACAAAATTAAGGCGGGGAAGCACTGGATAGTACACCTGTGCGGACAGAGATTAGAACCAGGCTACACCGGTGTCTCCTTTGAAAGGTCCGGAACACAGCCCAGATTCCCATCAGTGGCCCTGAGTTGTGGCCCTGGGTCAGTCCCCTTAGGTTATGTGCAGCGTCCCCGGAAGGTTATAAAAAGAAGCCACTTGACTTCCTTGTATCTCTGAAAGGAGAAGGAACGATGGGAGTTTGGGGTTGCTCTCTTTTGGAGTCCCCCTCACTTCTCTTCTCACTTCTGTGGTAGAACTCAGGAGGAAGGGGACTGTTTGGGCAGAGCCTTGCAGAGGGAGTGCCGTTATGAGAGCCCTCTCAGCCTTAGAGAATTTGGCTGACTTTGGATGACAGAGGGATTTGGCCACTGGGAGGGCAACCTCCCACTCCTAGCCTAGCGCAGTCCTCCACTCTCTCATTGATTCTGCCAAACTCCAGCTTTCGGTTTCTCTGGACCTTGGGTTTTCTCCTATTGAAGGGAAAGGCTGTGTATAGTTGGCACTTGGTGTTTTGGCCATTATGGTGTGGGAGTAAAAAGGCCTGAGGGAACAGGAATCTGTCTTCTAGCCATCTCTAAGAGCCGTAATTTACAAATAAATGAAAAAGGGTGAACTCCAGCATCTTTCCAGACTTCCTGTTTTATGGATGAGGTGACTAACCCAGAGAGAGGAAGAAGCCTGGTGACCTAGACTGCAGATCTATGGTCTGGAAATGAAAACTCTTAACCACTGCACACAGGGTCTGCAAGCTGTACCCAGAGGGAGTTCTTTTTATATTTCAGAAGGACTGTTTGAAAGAGGAAAGGGCTGTATTGCAGGAAGGACTGTTTGTATGAGCCTAAGATACTTTATAACCCTGAAGTCCAGGAGTCCCTGCACCAGCTATTGATGAAATCTCATGTATGTGTTATCTTTCTTTTTCTATAAAAGTAAATGATGTATAGTGTTTGTCTTTTTAGTCCCAGATATTTGAGCCTTAAATGAAAGTCAATTTCACAGTATTGATAAAAAATGAGCAGTTGCTATGTCCACCCTTTGCTCTTGGGAATAGAACAGGACAGAGAGTTGAAACAGGTTCATCACTTATTCCCAGAAGGGTTGAGCCTGAGAGCTGAGTAGCATAGCTTTTCTCTTGCGAGTCTTCCTCCCCTCTGGGCCTCCAGTGCCTCTCCATCCGTTCTTGAGTCATAGCTGCTCGGGAATATTATCACTGTAGAAGCATCGTGGTTGTCATAGTGACTCATCCTTTAATGAAGACCTGCCCGCCATGTTAAAATCGTCAGGCCTACAGGACAAGGACACGGTTGTGGACACCGCCCAATTCCTTTGTTCTCATTTGGTTTTGATGCCTGCAGGTATGTTGTCCTGACCACAAAGCATCATGAAGGCTTCACAAACTGGCCAAGCTCTGTGTCCTGGAACTGGAACTCGAAGGATGTGGGGCCCCACCGTGATTTGGTTGGTGAGTTAGGAGCAGCTGTGCGGAAGAGGTGCGTGTCTGAGGACAGACAGCTACTCCACCACCCAACAGCTACTCCACCACCCTTCCCATCCAGCCCTCCAGAGAGCCAGCCTTGTACTCTCTTGTTTGTCTGGTAGGGTCATTTAGCCAGTGAGCTGATGGGCTCCCAGACTTTTTGAGATTTGGCTGTTTTCACAGAACCAAAGGTGATCCAAAGAAAGGAGTTCCCAGTGGGTGGAGGACAACTATCATAGACCACGATGGTCTAGTTGTAGCCTGCAAGGATTTCTGTGGGAAAACATGCAGTACAGAGCCCTTTCCAGGATGTGATGGAATCCAGGGACTGGGTCCCACCTTTCTCCTCCATAGCTACCAGCGACCAACACCAAGTTGTTCAGGCCTGAGGGCAACCTCGGATAATGGTCTATCAAAAACTAAAGAGGGCTAAGTTACACACAACTGATTGTCCTCAGTATTTATCACTTAACTGGGAGTAACTAACCAGACTGATGCTAGTTACTCGGGAGGCAAAGTAACCCAAGCCAGACAAAGTAGCCAGACATGATGCTAGCTAGCACTTGGGTGGCAAAGGCAGGAGGGTCAGGAGTTCAAGGCTGGCCTTAGCTGTATAGTGAGTTTGAGGCTAGCCTGGGCTAAACAAGACTATCTCAGAAAGCTAAATAATAATAATAACAATAATAGATGAACTTCTATTAGTTTCTGTTATTAATTGGATGTGACAGAGGTGGGATGCTGACCTCTCATAGATTAAGCGGTTGTTCCTCCACTGAGTGTGTTGGGTACTTTTGTGTCAGTGACCACCATACCTGTTAAAAGCAGCTTTAGGCAGGGATGGTTGATTTTCAGGCCGGCATGGTGAAGCAGCTGCAAACATGCCGTCCACACACTATGGTAGAGGTCATTCATTCATGTATCAGGTGACTGGGGAGTGGCAGGAACCAGAGGGTCTCCGTCAGGTGTCCCTCTACCAGCATGCCTATCTCGTAAAGGTTCCGTGGGTTCCCAGAACAGCACTATCAGGCAAGCAGCAAACCTTCAGAACGTGAGCCTGGGGGGGACAGTGGAGATTCAAGCCACAACACTGAACCCTGTCCCCAGCCACCAGTACGTATTCAGGTTTGAAACCCTACTGGTTATGTTTGCCTTTAAGAAAGATTACTTTCGGGCTGGAGAGATGGCTCAGTGGTTAAGAGCACTGACTGCACTTCCAGAGGTCCTGAGTTCAAATCCCAGCAACCACATGGTGGCTCACAACCATCTGTAATGGGATCTGATGCCCTCTTCTGGTGTGTCTGAAGACAGCTACAGTGTATTCATATATAATAAATAAATAAAATCTTTAAAAAAAAAAAAAAAGAAAGAAAGATTACTTTCTGCTCTATGACTCTGAGGCCTAGGCTGACTGCCTGTTTATATAAATGGAGTTTGATTGGCACACAGCTATGCCTGTGTCATACAGAGCCCAGAGATGGTCTCATGGAACAATCTGAGAGCTGAGACAGATCAGAGAGCTGGCAAAGTCCAGCGGACTACCTCAACCTTTAAGAATGCCTTTGCTGACTCCTGTTACCTGCTCTGTTCCGTGCCCCATGCTGCTCTTGGCCACTGACCCTGTGACAGATGTTCATGTGATCGTAGATGTGGGTCACACCTGGACTTTGGAAGTAACTGCTTCTTTCTGTTTGGTTTGGTCTTATGAGACAGACCTTGCTCTGTATTCCCAAAGAGCTTGAAACTTGCTGTGCAACCAAGCTACCTTCTAACTTGATGCAAGCCTCCTGCCTCTGCCTCCCAGGTGCTGGGCTGCCAGACCTGTGGCACCATGCCCAGCCTTAGCAGGATGCACTGGTCCCTTCTCTGTCAGTGGTCAGTCCCCGAATCACTTACCGAAATGACCCCCCCTTCAGTTCTTTGCTGTTATTTTTCTTCATTACCTGCACTGTAATCTTTGCACAGCACCATGTCTTAACTGAACCGTAGTAATTGTGCATTTTTATGAGGCGCGGTGTGACGTGTGTATAATGAACAAAGCAGGGTGATTAGCGTCTCTAGATCCTTAGTCATTTGTCTTTTCTTTGTGTTAGGAACCTTCAGTCACCTTTCTTCTAGTTCTTTAAAGAAATATTTAATACAGATGGGGATGTAGCACGTGACTGAATGTTTGCCTAGCATAGATGATACCCAGCACCATAAAAATAAAGTAAGAAGATGGTGGTGATGCATGCCTTTAATCCCAGCACTTGGAAGACAGAAGCATGTGGATGTTTGGGGCCAGCCTGGTCTACATAGCCAGTCCCAGGCTGTCCAGGGCTACATACTGAGACCCAGTATGTGTGTGTATGTTAAATAAATTATTTAAATTAAATAAATAAAGAATCTCAGATAGTTTAGGCTGGCATCAAGCGTACTTGAACTCCTGACCTCTCCGCCTCCCCCTCCAGAGTGCTGACTCCACACCCAGCCTGATTTTTTGTAGAGCAGATTGTTTTCTCTCTGCCTAATGCCAGCTGCTGCTGTATTTTTCTGTTCAAGGAACATACGCTACGGCCTCTACCACTCGCTCTTGGAGTGGTTCCATCCACTCTACCTACTTGATAAGAAAAATGGTTTCAAAACGCAGCATTTCGTCAGTGCAAAAACAATGCCGGAGCTGTACGACCTTGTTAACAGGTAAGGAGGCATGGCCGGGGCCTCACCACTGTAGAGTGCTGTTACCGGACTCCAGCCAGAGGCTGCTGTAACATGAAAAACACATACAAGACATCAAAATGATAAAAGTGGTGTTTATGTCAATGCAACACTTGCTTCCCTCCTTCCTTCCCACCGCTCAGAACTTCTGGACTGTGCTCACTCATTGATGCCACAGTCACAGGGACCTGGCTGACAGTGTGTCAAAACCAGACCTTCAGAGCCCTCCTCCCTTGCCATTGGGCCTAGTCAGGACCACGGACAGGTCACCGGAGAGGTCACCATTCTCAATGTGAAGTTGTTGCTAACTGAAGCTTTCGCTACCCCACCTAGGCTCCGAGAACAGACTGTGCTACTCGTCCCCGCCCAGATCCCTTGAATCTAGGGATAAACATCACAGACAAACACAGTGATCAATTCTATCTTGCCTTTTTGGCACAGTTGCTGGGCGATACTTATCTCCTGCCTGGAGAGGCCTGCCCTTATCAATACTCTCAGTTCCACATCTCTCCACCTGCCCTCCACTTTAGCTGCTCAGTTACGGTCGTCCCTGCTCAACACCCCTAGTCGCCTACCTGTGAGAGTGGCCGCAGGCTGCTGCTCCACCCAAGATCTCACATGGCTGGTCACCTTTTCTCTCTCTGAAGCATAGTGATGTCTCTCTCTCTCTCTCTCTCTCTCTCTCTCTTCCTCTCTCTTCCTCTCCTTCTCTCCCTCCCTCTCTCTCCTCTCCTGTGTCTGTCTCTTCCTCTGGGGACCTGGAAGTCCCGTCTGTTCCTTCCACCCAGCAATTGGCCCATGGCTTCTTTACTGATAGATCAAGAACCAACTGTGGAACAGGCCCTTAGCATCAGCATCAGAACCATCCCTTCAGCTAACCTGCCCCATGTTTTCTTCTACATTGATTGACCAATGATTTATTGATTGATTGATCGATTGGAGGATGAGTGGCATTGGCATGCCATAACACACGTGTTCAGGTCAGAGGGCAGTTTGGGGAAGTTAGTTTTCTCAGTCTGCCATGTGGACCCTGAGGATCAGGGTTGTTGGAAGCACTTTACCCACTGACCTTCTCGCTAGTCCGTTTCCATGCTTTCCCTAGCAACATGTGGGACCCACCCCTGCCTGGAGGACTGTTGGAGCCTAAGAGGGCTTCCTTCTTTCACCCATCTCTTATTTTATATATTTTGTTTTTGCTATCATGTTTGGATTTCTCTTTCTTTTGGTTTTTCTTTTTTTGTTTGTTTGTCTGTTTTTTGTTTTTCTCAAGACAGGGTTTCTCTGTGTAGCCCTGGCTGTCCTGGAGCTCACTCTGTAGACCAGGCTGGCCTCAAACTCAGAGCTCCACCTGCCTCTGCCTCCCAAGTGCTGTGATTGAAGGTGTCTGCCACCATGCCTGGCAGTTTTCTTTTTTATGGTAAAATCTAACTAGCCTGGCCTGGCTTTGGGTCCTTGTTGATGCTCCTGATTCAGCCTCAGAAGTGTGAGCATTTCAGGCCTGAGCCACTGTTGCTGGCTGGCTGGCTGGCTGGCTGGCTGGCTGGCTGACTGGCTGGCCTGCTGGCTGGCTGACTGGCTGGCTGGCTGGCCGACTGGCTGGCTGGCCGGCTGGCTGGTTGATTGGTTGGTTGATTTTTGAGACAGGTCTTCCTTTGTAACCTAGGCTGGCCTCTAATTTCAGGCAGTACTCCTGCCTCCCCTGAGTGATGGGATTACACTCATGAGCCACTGTCCCCAGCTTGCAACTAGTTCTAGCCAGATGACTGTCAGGAAACTGTTACAAAACTCCTGCAAAGTCCTGGTTGAGTGCAGGTGTCTGGAGTTCTGAAATCAAGTTTAGTTTTGAGGGTTTTTTTCCCTCTTTTTTTGTTTTTCTTCTTTCCTCTCTCCTCCCTCTGTAGTCTTGTCTAACCTTGGCTAGCCTCACAGTTATCACAGACCGGCTGGCTCGGGATTTTCTGCAGACTGGGATTATAAGCATGTGCCGATGCCCCTGGCTTTTTTCTTTTGTAAACTGTGTGGTTTAGAGTAACTTACTTAGTCTCTCCCTTGCTTTCTTATCTGTCCCTGAACCAGGGTTAGTGATCACGGGGGCGGATGAGGTGACGGCCACAGAGCCCCAGATTAGCCTTTAATTTGCAAATCTCCTAACTCAGGTTCTGGTTCCCAAGTGCTGGAATTACTGACATGAGCCACCATACCTAGCTCTTTTTATTTTCTTGATCCCAGACAAGACACAGGTCTTTGAACTTGCTGGGCAGCTTTACCACTGAGCTACCACAGTCCAGGCCATGAGCACTGCTGTTGTCTTTTCAGTCATATATGGTTATTTTGTGTGCATGCGTGTGTATGCGTGTGAGCACAGATGTGCTGCAGCACACATGTCAGGGAACAGCTCAATTCTCTCCTTCCATGGGGATTCTGGGGATCAAACTCAGGTCATCAGGCTTGGCAGCAGGAGCATTACCAGCTGAGCTGAGCCTTCTGGCTGCCCAAGCACCACCCTCTTTTCCAGAACTTAATTATTACTTATGTGTTGTTTATACACACCATGGGCAGCAGGTGCTGGAGGAAGCCAGAGCATCAAATTCCCTGGAATAAGCGGTTGTGGGCCACCATGATGTTGAGAAGCAAACCCTGGTCCTCTGTAAGCAGTAAGCAGTAAGCAGTAAGCAGTAAGCAGTAAGCAGTAAGCAGTAAGCAGTAAGCAGGCTCGATCACCCTTGAGCTGACTGTCAAGCCCGGGGAGCAGCACTCCTAATCAGAGCTGGTTGCTTGAAGGGAAGCAAACGCTCAATACTGATTCCAGCTCCTTCTCTAGAAGGAGCAGCAAAGGAGTTTAGAGGAAGCGTGCCTTAGCACTGCCGTTTATTATTACTGTTGTCGTCATCACTGTTATTGTTGTAGTTTGGTTTATTTGGGATGTGTGTGCGTGCACCTGCCATGGTGTGCATGCAGAGGTCAGAAGACCACTTGCAGAGTCAGCCTCCCAGGATTGAACTCAGGTTGTGAGACTTGGCAGGCAGGCGCCTTTACTCACTGAGCTGGTTCACCAGCTCCCTGCAGCTCTTGATTTAATTAAAATAGTTACTTTACCTGTTTGGGTGTTTTGGCTGCATGTTTGTCTATGTTCTCTGTGCATACCTGGTGCCAACAGAGGCCAGAAAGTGGCATCAGATCCCGGGGGACTATGAATAGGTGATTGTGAATCTCCAGTGTCATGTGGGAAATCAGACCAAAGTCTCAACTTCTCAACTTCAGAGGAGCAGCCAGTGTGCTCTGGAGAGCCTGAACCATCCACTACTGGCTCCACACTACCGAGCCGCCTCCCACATACTGTGGCTGAGTCTCTTTTAGACAGTGGTTGTGTTAGCAAAAAAAAACAATTTCTTACCTCATTAGTTTTTGCATTGCAATTTTTATGGTTCTTTCCAATCAAGAGACTTTTCTCTCTGACGGGCTAGGAATGGAACCCACAACCCCACATGTGATAGGCAAGGGCTCTCCCACAGACCCAGACTCCCAGCTCTAATTTTTTTTTTTTTTTTTTTTTTGGTTTTCCAAGACAGGGTTTCTCTGTGTAGCCCTGGCTGTCCTGGAACTCACTCTGTAGACCAGGCTAGCCTTGAACTCAGAAATCCACCTGCCTCTGCCTCCCAAGTGCTGGGATTAAAGGCGTGTGCCACCACCGCCTGGCAAAATATGTGTAGCCCAGGCTGGCCTCGAACTCGTGATCCTCCTGCCTCTGCCTCCATCAGCAAATCCTACCAGTATGCGCCACCACTACCGGCCCAGCTCTAATTTTTCAGTAAACACCTGTCCATAAGACTGGACTAGATAAAGATTCATATGACAAACTGCTCTGGTCACATGTCTTCCAGTTACAAGCCTGACCTGATCTGGTCTGATGGGGAGTGGGAGTGTCCTGATACGTACTGGAACTCCACGGGTTTCCTCGCTTGGCTCTACAATGATAGCCCTGTCAAGGTAGGTGGTTATCTAATTTAGGAATAACTGGTTCTGATAGAAAAGTATGAATGACTGTAGTCTCAGCTGTCAGTAGGCAGGCTATGACGGGGGATTTACAGCAATGGAGCCTCTGCTTTCCAAGAGCTGGGATGATTACAGGTGTGTGGCACCACTCCTAGCCTATACCCAAGTTTAAAAGGGGACTTAGCTAACTGCACCTTCCCATTACTGGCTAGTACACCTAGCTAGTACATAGGCTGCCCGTTTATACCTTGTGTTATGGAGCTTTTACTGAATGGCAAAAGTCTTAGTCTTTTTTTTTTTTTTTTCCTCTTTTTTTGGTTTTTCGAGACAGGGTTTCTCTGTGTAGTCCTGGCTGTCCTGGAACTCACTCTGTAGACCAGGCTGGCCTCGAACTCTTGAACTCAGAAATCCGCCTGCCTCTGCCTCCCAAGTGCTGGGATTAAAGGTGTGCGCCACCACCGCCCGGCAACATGTTCTTGATTTATAGATTTTAAAGAAAAATCTAAATATAAAGTGGCTTAGGCCAGGTAGTGGTGGCCAACACCTTTAATCCCAGCATCTGGGAGGCTGAGACAGGCAGATCTCTGAGTTCCAGGCCAGCCAGAGCCACAGAGAAATTCTGTTTCAAACAATAAAAACAAAAGAGAAATAGAGAGAGAGAGAAAGGGGGGAGAGGAGCTTGGTAGTCAGAGGAATAGCCTGGTGCTAGAGCAGGTGCTTAGCGTGTACAGGTCTGGGTGTAATCAGAACCAAAGCTAAGCTTGGATGAAGGTGCTCTGGTGGGTTCCTCTCTGTGGGGCTGAATTATAGTTATTACTAAACTCAGAGAGTGAGAAGGAGAGGAAAGAGAAGAGACCCCTGAGTGGTGCGTGCTAGTTGGAGGCGGTTCTCATGCTGAAGACTCACTCCTAGGAAGGCAGGCTAACAGCAGTACAAGTCTGGCTTCCAGGGACTTGCCGAGTCTCTGGGGACTCCCAGATGTGTAGTTCATCCCAGGTAGTTAACACTGATAGAATGCCATGGTCTAAATTGCCCACATCTGTCTCTGCTCAGTATTTAAAGGGAAAACACTCTATTATTCACCATGGCACCCCTGTCTCTGCCTCAGTTATATACCAATATAAGTGAGCAGCTGACGGCCCATCCAGACTTGAGATGGGCCAGGTATGGTGGTGCACACCTTTAATCCTAGCACCCAGTAGACAGGTGGGCCGATCTCTGCGAATTTGAGGCCAGCCTGGTCTACCTAGTGTGTTCTCAGGCCAGCCATGGCTGCATAGTCAGACTCTTACCTGAAAAAACAAACAAACTGGGTGTGGTGGCACACACCTTTGATTCCAGTATTCAAAAGGCAGAGGCAGGTGGATCTCTGTGAGTTAGAGGCCAGCATGGTCTACAAATCAAGTTTGAGGACAGCCAGAGCTACCCAGAGAAACCTTGTCTTGACCAACCAAACTTAGGATGGGTGATACCTCCTGTGCCTGTGAGGTGGGTAGTTTTCCTCCGGACTGTGTCTTCGTGGAGCTGTGTTGTGTGCTGCATGACATGACAGCCCCATTAAGGAGAGTCACACACACACAGAAAAAGCAGAGATGCCATGTCAGGAAGGAAGCAAATGTCAATCACATTTCTGGAAAACCACCGTGAGGGCTGGGGAGAGGTCTCAGTGGTTAAAGCAGGATGCTCACAGGAGCAGGAGGCTCTTGACTTCCCTACCCAGCAAGCTCACACACGGCACACATGGCGGATCACAGGAACCACCTGAAACTACAGTACAAGGGCAGATGTCGCCCTCTTCTGGCCTTCTTGGATACTGCACACATGTGCAATGGCATACATGCAGGCAAAACACCCATATGAGTTTTTAAATTGTTTTTTATATCTGTGTGTATGTATGCCTGCGCAAGTGTATCTGTAATGTGTGTAGGCAAAACCCCATTGAAGCCAGAAAGTGGCACCAGATCTCTTGTAAAAGTATCAAGCACTCTTAACTGTTGAACCATCTCTCCTGTCCCATGCTTGCCGTTTTTACAAACGAGTGCTAGAGAGTCCTCATGCTTCCACAGAAAGTGCTTTACCCACTGAGCCATCTCCTGGGCCCCACAGGCTCTCTCCCTGCATGCACACTTACCCACAGGCACTCCTCTCTCCCTGCATTCACATTTACCCATGCATCCCTCTGCTGGGTCCCTGGGGCCGGCACTGCTGATATTATGCTGGTTTTGGTGGTAGTAGTGGGTTTTTTGTTTGTTTGCTTTTTTGGTTTTTTTTCCCCTTTATTTGATGTGCACTGGAATATGCCTCTATGTATATCTGTGGAAAGGGTGTGAGTTACATTCAACTTTTTTGTTTGTTTGTTTGCTTGTTTGTTTATTTTTGTTATTTATTTATTTATTTTTGGTTTTCGAGACAGGGTTTCTCTGTGTAGCCCTGGCTGTCCTGGGACTCACTCTGTAAACCAGGCTGGCCTGGAACTCAGAAATTCGCCTCCCTCTGCCTCCCAAGTGCTGGGATTAAAGGCGTGTGCCACCACTGTCTGGCTATTTTTTTTTTTTGAACTGCCATGTGAATGCTGGGAATTGAACCTGGGTCCTCTGGAAAAGCAGCCAGTGTTCTTAACCACTGAGCCATCTCTTCAGCCCTGGATGCTGCTCTGTAATAGACACAGTCTTCATTACTGTAGGACATTTCTCAGCATTTTTTCTCACTAGATAGCAGCACCACCCTCACAGGGACAGCCAAAAATGTCTAGAGTCCCACATGTGCCCTTTAGAGCCTGATAGCAGCAAGGGAAACCACTAGTGTAGTCCTGCTATCCTTCCTTGCACAGAGACTGTGGCCAGATGGATCTGCATCCAGAGAGGAGCCAGGCGGTGCTGTGCCGCTGACCCGTTCTCCTTCCTCCTTTAGGATGAGGTGGTAGTGAATGACCGCTGGGGTCAGAACTGCTCCTGTCGTCACGGAGGGTACTACAACTGTCAGGACAAATACAAGCCACACAGCTTGCCAGACCACAAGTGGGAGATGTGTACCAGCGTGGACAGGGCGTCCTGGGGCTATCGAAGAGACATGACCATGTCAACCATCGCCAGTGAAGATGAAATCATCGAGGTAAGAGTGTTCATTGCCTTAGCTGTTTGCTCGTCTCAGAGCTGCCCTCTAACCCACAGTCCAGTTGCTAGAGCCTGCTTGGGCCACAGTACATGGAGACTGTCTTAGTTAGGGTTCTATTGGGGGGAACAGACACCATGACCAAGGCAACTCTTATAAAGACAACATTTAATTGAGGCTGGCTTACGGGTTCAGAGATTCAGTCCATTATCATCAAGGCAGGAGCATGGCAGCATCCAGGCAGGCATGGTACAGGAGGAGCTGAGAGTTCTACATTTTGTTCCAAAGGCAGACAGAAGAAGACTGGATCTCCCATGGTTAGGCAGGATTGTGCTACGTACAATCAAGAGTGAGAAGAGGCCAGGCAGTGGTGGCGCACGCCTTTAATCCCAGCACTTGGAAGGCAGAGACAGGTGAATTTCTGAGTTCGAGGCCAGCCTGGTCTACAGAGTGAGTTCCAGGACAGCCAGGGCTACACAGAGAAACCCTGTCTTGAAAAACCAAAAAAAAAAAAAGAGTGAGAAAAGACACCAAAAACCAATGGAGGGTTTCCTTTCTCTCACCTTTCAGTTTTTCTGAATGTAAAATCAGTCCTGGGCTGCCCTGAGTGACAGTTGTTCGAGGTCACAGCAAATACCTCCACTCCAGGATGCCTTCAGAATGTCTCTCTATGGTAGTTCTTCTTCCATAGAGTACTTGCTGGCATCAAACTTGGTAGCCAAGGCTAGCCTTGATCTGCTGGTCCTCTTGCCTTTTCCCACCTCAAGTGCTGGAATTACAGGCATGGGTCAGCATGCCCAGCTTCCCTTGCATTGGTTTTGGTTTTGCCAACGGTGCATACAGTCTGTACTTAGACAGCTCAGGGAGACATTTGCCGCCTCGCCCAGCTCTACAGTGTAACTCACCCTTTGTGGTGCTAAGGATTGCAGCCAGGGAAATTTCTCTTCATATCCCTTGATGTCTGTGTGTTTTAGACACCGCCGTCTCCACAGTCATGTCTCAGCTTTTATTTTTTCTGCCTTCTTTAGGAATTGGTTCAGACGGTGAGTTTGGGAGGCAACTATCTTCTTAACATTGGACCAACTAAAGATGGCCTGATCGTCCCCATCTTCCAAGAACGGCTTCTTGCTGTTGGCAAGTGGCTGCAGATCAACGGAGAGGCCATCTATGCCTCCAAACCCTGGAGGGTGCAGTCTGAAAAGAACAAGACAGTGGTGTGGTGAGCTCTGCCTGCCTTCCTGTGCGGTCAGGGGACTGATGGATGATAGCCAGGTTTCAGTTCTGAGTGACAGTAAAGTCAAAGTAAAAGAATTATTAGCAAGGGATAGCTGATAGACAGACAGACACACACACGGATGGATGGATGGATGGATGGATGGATGGATGGATGGATACATAGGTAGATACATAGATAAGATAGATTATAGATATATTTATTATAGGTAGATTGATTATAGATAGATGGCAAAATATCAAGCCTATGGCTGACTTAGGCCATTAATGTTTAAGCAAGGTCGCTCCCAACACTAAGTGAGCTCAGACAACACAATACAGCCTCTCAGTATCAGTATTGTATCCTTCTGATGCGTGCCAGCCTATGCCTGTTGTGGACCTAGCACATCTTCGGGTCCTTCCAGCCTGGTGACAAGGGTGGAAGTTGCCTTGTCTCTTGCTTGCTGTGAGATTCATGTCCCAGCTCCACCCACCCAGTGCACAGCTCCATCCTAAATTTTTCCCATTCGTAGATGGACTTCTAGATCTAGTTATTTGACCTTGGACCTCGGTTTCTTCAACTGCGAAGGGCATGATGGTACTTAGCTTCATAGACTTGCTTTGAAAACTAGCTAACATCATCTGTATGAGGACCCAGCAGAGCACCGGGCCTGAGCTCAAAGAGCCTGATGTCACACCAGAATGCCTTGTTCTTCTTCCACTGGTGACACATCAATCCCTATGGATGAATTTCTGTGAGGTGGTTTTATTCTGTCTTTGAACACGGTGACCGCTCAGGCCAGGGATGTGCCGCCTTTGTATGTTCCACTTGTTTCACCCTCTGTTGTTTTCTCATGGATCTGGAGTTGAGAAGATTTCAATAACAAGTTCTGTGACTTCAACCCCTAATAAGTAGGACGTGGCAAGTGCAAGTTCTGTTTTGTTATCGCTGTGTGCATCATGGTTTCACCATGCTGCATAGGCTGTCCCCCACCTCCTGGGAACAAGCTGTCCTCCTGCCTCAGCTTCCTTAGTATCTGGGATTATATGTGTGCATCACCATACCCGGCAGAAGTTTTTTGATTTTTTTTTTTTTTTGAGACACCATGTAACTGTATAGACCAGGCTGGACTTGAACTCACAGATGTATACCTGCATTTACTTCCTGAGTGGTGCTGGGACCACCTTTAATGGCTATCACCACCACTGGACTTTCTTTCTTTCTTTCTTTCTTTCTTTCTTTCTTTCTTCCTTTCTTTTTTTTTTTTTTAATGCGTGTGTGTAGGGGGAGTGGGCAGCAAGCAAAGGTTATTGAGGCAGCAGGGAAAGGTCTAGAAAATGAGTTGCCCAAGGGTTAATTTTAATTTTTTAACAAACCTTGACAACCCAGTGAAAGGATAATAGAAGATTCCAAAGAATTTTCTAGTCCCTTTCCTTCCTGAACACCTTACTGGCATTTCCTTGTAGTCATGACAAACACTAGGTCTTTAATGGGTGAGCTATCTAAAGGGGATGTGAGGGTCTGTCGGCAAGTACAACTGAACTTACGATGTCTCTTTGTTCCCAGGTACACCACTAAAGACTCGGCTGTTTATGCCACTTTTCTATACTGGCCAGACAATGGAATGGTGAGCCTTAAATCCCCTAAAACGACCTCGGGCACGAAGGTAAGGAGACTCCATCAGTTTTCCAGCCACAGACCTGCCGGGGCCTTCACAGGTCCTGCCGCAGGACACAGCATTGCACGAAGGCCAAAGGCTGACGGTCTCTGGTCTTGTAACTCTCTCTTACTCTTCTGGGGTCCAGAAGCTGATGGCTTCTGAGAGCTAAACTCTCTCTTGCTATTTTGTGGTTAAACGCTTCTGCCTTCTGCCTGCTGTTAGCACAAGGGATTAGGTAAAAAAGTTTTAGTTGCTAGGGCTCTTTTCTCTTGGCTTAATGACCCCTTGATGGCCAGGCCAGAGGCTTGGAATACTTCACTAATTCTTTATGAACCAGAGAGAAAAGAAGAGAAAAGAAAGGAAGGGTGAGCCGGGCAGTGGTGGCGCATGCCTTTAATCCCAGCACTTGGGAGGCAGAGGCAGGCGGATTTCTGAGTTCGAGGCCAGCCTGGTCTACAGAGGGAGTTCCAGGACAGCCAGGGCTACACAGAGAAACCCTGTCTCGAAAAACCAAAAAAAAAAAAAAAAAAAAGAAAGGAAGGGTGAGTGAAAGAAGGTAGAGAGAAAAGGCACACATCTCACGTAGAAAGAACACTCCCTCCCTCCAGAGCAGAAGCAGCAGCTCCACAACCTTTCTTTTCTGTCCTCAGTATAAATACTGTCTCTAAAGACTACCTCATGGCTTCATCTTCAGAACTGGATGGAGTCATGTTAATAGTGTTGTCTGAGTGTCTTTTTCTTTAAAAACAAAACAGAACAAAACAAAAAAACCCAAAATACCTCCTACAACCAGCAGGCAGAACTGTTACAGAAGGGTAATTGGTTGCACGATTTTCTAAATACTCTTTTTTTTTTTTTAAAGATTTATTTATTTAATTATATATGAATACACTGTAGCTGTCTTCAGACACACCAGAAGAGGGCATCAGATTTCATTACAGATGGTTGTGAGCCACCATGTGGTTGCTGGGATTTGAACTCAGGACGTCTGGAAGTGCAGTCAGTGCTCTTAACCACTAAGCCATCTCTCCAGCCCCTTTTTTTTTTTTTTAAGTAATTGTAGTTTTCAACTTTATTTTTTTATTTTTTATTTATTTATTTTTAAAGATTTATTTATGTTATTTATGAGTACACAGTAGCTGTCTTCAGACACACCAGAAGAGAGCATCCAATCTCATTATGGATGGTTGTGAGCCACCATGTGGTTGCTGGGATTTGAACTCAGGACCTCTGGAAGAAGAGTCAGTGCTCTTAACTGCTGAGCCATCTCTCCAGCCCTTCTAAATACTCTTACCTTCCAAGAAGCTCATCATAAGATAAGGCAACAACCCATGTCGTAAATCGATAAGACTTGAGTCACAACAGCGGAATTGTCTACATGTCTTCCCGTTAAGGCTGGTCTCTCACTAAACTATCTGTTATTAGCCCCGTAAATTCATTATAAGTTTAAAGTTTTATGCCACAAGTTAGCACAGTTTTGTCAAGAGACAAATCATCTGCCTGTGTCTTATTATTTTGAAGTTTTGTATAGATAAACCTACAATAAATTGTCCATGCCCAATTTATGGCCTTTAGTGACCATGATGGTTTTACAGCTAACTTAGAAGGAATGTTTTCCTTGATCATAAATTTGTTCCAAAGCCTGCTTTCTTATTCTAGTGCAATCAGCCCATGGCACATGAAGGTTTACAGAGCTCTATTTGCAGGTTTTGCTCTATAGAGGACTTGAAATTATTTATATCAATTTAGAAATTCTATAAAATCATTATCAGGAATTCTGGAATCATTCATTCATCTACATAGCAATCCTGGGATGAAGTCTAAGGACCCTGTATTCTTAGAGCCCACCCATTGCTGGTCATGCAGAATGATGCGCTATCTCCAGAAAGTGCACTGGCACCCCTTAGCCTTCCTGGATGGCTTCTGACACCCTCCTGAGCTTTAATGTGCTCTGGTTTGTTGTCATTTTTCCAGGGCTAGGGATAGACTCCACCCACCACTGAACTACATCCCCAGCTATTGTTGGTAAGCTAAATTCTCTTTATGTAGCTCAGGCTAACGTCAATCTGTGGCCCTCCTGCGTTGTATTAAGTAATTAATCTCAGTTGGGGGTTTCTACCCCACTTTTGATCATTTAGTTCCCAGATAAAAGACACACAACTTCCATATTTATAATAAGGCTTTAATTCACTAGAGCCGGGCAGGTATCAATCCTCGATGCTATTTTGTCTCTGTCCCTGTCAATAGCCCCAAGTTAAGACTTGCCGTGTTCCATCTGGGCTGCTCTGAACTCCAGTCGGCCAGCTCTCATGGCTGTTTTTGTAACTCTTCTTTCCACCTTGTGGTCCTGCCTTAGACCCCAAGCCTGGAAACCAGCATCCCACCTACCTCTCTTCTGCCTAATTATAAGCTGTTGGCGTCTTTATTCAACCAATAGTTTTATATTAAGGAACAAGGTCGCATCGCATTACTTTGTGTGTGTGCAGATTCTCTCGTCCCTGGGGGCGGTCAGGCCTTGGGGGCCAGGATTTACCATTACAATACATAGCAAAAGACCAGACCGCCACACTCCTGTCTCCTCCTTCCCAGTGCTAAGATTATAAGCTTATGCCGACATCTGGCCAGATGTACCTTTTATGAAAAAGCCATGGCTGGCTTATGCTTCTTCCTTCCCAGGGTCTTTCCACATGTATGTCCTACAGCCTGTCTACAGCCTGTCCTACAGCCTGTCCTCACTGCCCTGCCCTCACTGCCCTGCCCTCACTGCCCTGTCCTGTCCTCACTGCCCTGTCCTCACTGCCCTGTCCTGTCCTCACTGTCCTCTCACTGCCCTGTCCTCACTGCCCTGTCCTATCCTCACTGCCCTGCCTTCACTGCCCTGTCCTGTCCTCACTGCCCTGTCCTGTCCTCACTGCCCTCTCCTCACTGCCCTCTCCTCACTGCCCTGCCTTCACTACCCTGTCCTCACTGCCCTGTCCTGTCCTCACTGCCCTCTCACTGCCCTCTCCTCACTGCCCTGTCCTGTCCTCACTGCCCTCTCACTGCCCTGTCCTCACTGCCCTGTCCTCACTGCCCTGTTCAGCACAGCTGTTTCCCGTCATGTTTGGGGACAATCTGTTCATCAGCGAATAACCAGGTGCTCCCATCCCCTTTTGCCTTCTCCAGATAACAATGCTAGGAATGGAAGGAGAACTGAGCTGGACCCAGGACCCACTGGGGGGCATCCTCATCTCTCTGCCCCTGTTGCCACCTCCTGCTCTCCCAGTGAAGTTTGCCTGGACTCTAAACCTGACAAAGGTGAACTGATCATAGGAGCTCAAGGACACACCGCCCAGTGAGCTGCTTTCTCTTACAGGACCAACCACACAATAAAGTAGCTTCCCTTCCACCCAGTGGTCGACCTTCCAACCCATTCTAATGGATGGGAACTGATGGGCGAGCCATTGCTAGCATTTCTGGTGGGCAGAAAGACCTGGGCAGCTCAGCTGAGTCACCCATGCCCTCACTAGGATGAAATCTCCCTCTGTTCTCTTATGACCTACCTGATAATGAGCCACGTCATCCTTCTGCCTGTGGGAGCAGGTCACAGAGGTCTGACCAACTCAACCCCTGTGCCTTCCCGGTTGTCACTCGTCCTGAAGAGACTGAAGAGACCAAGCTGGCCTCGGGGCCGCCAGGCCGCCAGGCTCAAGTTGTCTGAGGTTCGCAAAGCAAGCTGAGAGCTGACACTGAGCGTGTCTTCAGAGATACTGGTGAAAGAGTCTCATTCTGCCTTTAAAAAAAAGATGGAAGTGGACTGCAGAGATGGCTCACTGGCTAAGAGCACCGTCTGCTCTTCCACAGGTCCTGAGTTCAATTCCCAGCAACTACATGGTGGCTCACAATCATCTTTAATGGGATCTGGTGCTCTCTTCTGGTGTGTCTGAAGACAGCGACAGTATACTCACATATATAAAATAAATAAATCTTTAAAAAAGGGCCTGTCTATATAGTGAGTGCAAGGCTACCCTAGGCTATATATGACCCTGTGCAGAGAGGGGAAAGACGGGTCTCCTTAATGCAGAACACGGCAGGTGATCTCTGGGGCTTTCCCCTCATTATTCTGGTGCTGGTCAACACTACCAGCTCAACCTGTGAGTAACTATGCACTAAGGTATTTGTGTGCAGAGGGCATTGGATCCTTCACAACTGGAGTTACAGATAGTTGTGAGCTGTCACGTGGGTGCTGGGAACTGAAAATCAAAGAGCAGCCAATGCTCTTAACCACTGAGCCATCTCTGTGTAGCCTGGCTGCCCTTGAACTCAGATCTTCGCCACCACTGGCTGGCTGGCTTCCCTTGTTTTTTATTTAAGATAATATGATGGCTGAGGAATGAGGTTTTGGTTTTGGTTTGATTGTTTGAGACAGGGTTTTTCTGTATAACAGCCCTGGCTGTCCTGGAACTTGCTTTGGAGACCAGGCTGGCCTTGAACGCACAGAGATCCACCTACCTCTGCCTCCCAAGTGCTGGGATTAAAGGCGTGCGCCACCATGAGATTTTAAGTGTTTTATGTGCTTGAGAAAACCATGCCAGGCAGTGGTGGCGCACGCCTTGGCAAGAGAGACCCCTCAATGAGTGATGTCCCCACTAGACTGGTCCTTAGGCAAGCCTGTAGAGCATTTTCTTAATTAGTGACTGAGGTGTGGAGAGGGCACACCCAGCCATTATGAGTAGAGACACAAGGATGTATAAGAAATCAATTGAGCTGTGCCAGGCACTGGTGGCGCATGCTTTTAATCTCTGCACTCATGAGCCAGAGATGAGCAGATCTCTAAGTTCGAGGCCAGCCTGGTCTACAGTGAGTGCCAGAGCTACACAGAGAAACCATGTCTTGAAAAAACAAAAAAGAAGGAAGAGGGAGAGAAAAGAAAGCAAAAAGAGAGAAAGGAAGGAAGGGAGGGAGGGAGGAAAGAAGGAAGCTGAGCGACCCATTGGGAACAAATAAGCAGAGCCTCTTCATGGCCTCTGTCTTGAGTTCCTACCCTGACATCCCTTCATGAGAGGCTACAACTGGAAGCTTTCTTTCTGAGTTACTTAGTGGTGGTTTCATTTTTTTATTTTGATTTGTTGTTGTTAGGGTTGTTTTTTTTTTTTTTGGCTTTTGTTTTGTCTTTTTACCTAAGAAAAGATGGAGGATGGGAAGAGAAAGAGAATCACTATTTTTTAGTTGCCTTTTTGAGGCAGGATCTCACACTTAGGTCTTTGTGGAACTCACCATGTAGCCCAGGCTGGCCTCAAACTCTTGGTGGATTTTCTTGCCTCAGCTTCACACGTGATGTGGTTTAGAGGTGCAGGAACAAGTCCATTTTCTCTGCTAATTAAAAAATAAAAGGTAGTAGAGAAGTGTTGTCAGTACTCTTTCGAAGTTCCAGTGGAGCCTCATATGATATACTAGGAAAGTCAGGGTCCCCTTTTGGGGTTCTCAGTTTCATTAATTAAAAAAAATATAACAGACACAAACAGAGTTGTAAGGAGAAAGAACTGACTCAAACCGAACTCAGGGCAATGGATTAGTTTGAAAGAAGCCCAGGGCGGGTGAGCTGAACACCTCACAGCTTCCTGGAAGGAAGGAGGAGGATGGAGAGGAGATGGGGTCAATAGCACCCTGCTAGAGAGAAGGCTAGTAGGTGACCAGCCTGGAGGCAGTCACAGGCTGGAGACCTGAGCCCAAGGAAAAAAAAAAAAAAACAAACAAGGAAGCCTCACCGCAGCTTAGGCTCTGGACCAGTGTCCGGATCGGCACCCGGACCGGCACCCGGACTGGCATCCGACAGCAAAGAAATGGTTCTGCCAAAAAAGAGGAGGAGGGAGGGACTGTGGGAGCCAACTGCACCGCCCGACTCAGGGGATTAGACTAGAAATCCAGTGGAGCCTCATGGTCACTTATAAGGTCAGTAGGGACTGCCTTAGAAGGTGGGAATCCTGGGAAGGAAAACTACATTTTCTGGGGTAAACCTAGGAGTGTCCCCTAGCCAGTCCTGCCGCAGTGGCTAAACCCTTAAGGGAGGAGACAAGAGCCTGTCTCCATCTAGGGGTGACGCTGTGGGATTGCAGGTGCAGGCCGCTGTCCCAGGTCTCTTGGCTTTCCAATGTAACTAGGTTTTGTTATGGTAACTCAGTATCCTGCAGTCCTAAGAGACCTGGCGGTGGTGGTGCACGCCTTTAATCCCAGCACTTGGGAGGCAGAGGCAGGCGGATTTCTGAGTTCGAGGCCAGCCTGGTCTACAGAGTGAGTTCCAGGACAGCCAGGGCTACACAGAGAAACCCTGTCTTGAAAAACCAAAAAAAAAAAAAAAAGAGTGCCTTAGGTTCCAGTGTGTGCACGTGTGTGCCTGCAGGCACAGGCACGCCAGGAATCGGAAGTGAGGACGGATCTCAGGTGTTAAATTGTAGCCGCAGGCTTGCACTCCAAGTGCTTTACCCACTGAGCCATCTCACTGACCCCATACTATTTTTGAGCCCCCACCCCATCCCCTTTTTTGAGACAGGGTCTTTCTTTGTAGCCCTGGCTGGCCTGGAACTCACAGAGAGCCTCCTACTGCGCGCAGCTTAAAACAGCTAACAGCAGACCAGATGGTTCCACGAGGAGGAGTTTATTTAGGGAAGAGGGCAAAGATGGGGGAAGAGAAACAGAAGAAGATGGCGGAGACAGAGGAGAGAGAGAGGAGAGAAGTGGAGGCCGGCCATGACTACGTGGAGAGAGGGGAAAGGGAAGGGAGGAAGGGCGAGGGGACAGAGAGAAGCTAGAGGCAAGAGAGTAAGAGTGAGAGAGAGTGAGAGTGAGAGAGAGAGAGAGAGAGAGAGAGAGAGAGAGAGAGAGAGGAGGCAAGCAGCCCCTTTTATAGTGGGCAGGCCTACCTGACTGTTGCTAGGTAACTGCAGAGGTGGAGTTTAGACAGAATACTAACACCTACTTCTGCCTCCAGAGTACAGGGATTAAAGATACATGCCACCAAACATAACTCCAATTAAACAAAAGAATCTCACGTAGCTCAGGCTGTCCTCAAACTCATATAGCTGAGGCTGGCCTTGAACTCCTCACCTTCCTGCATTTATCTCCTAAGTGCTGATATTGCATGTGTACACACTGAGCAGGGGGTTTATTTATAAAGGGGAAAAGCACAAATTTGGTACTTCTCATTGACATAGCTGTGACAACTATTAATAAGCATGACAGGATATGAACTTTCAACACGACTAGGAAGCCGGGTGGTGGCAGTGCACACTCTTAACCCCAACATTCAGGAGGCAGAGGCAGGTGGCTCTCTGAGTTTGAGGTCAGCCTGGTCTACAGAGTAAGTTCCAGAACAACCAGAGCTACCTTGCGGTTACAAAAGCAGGACAGAGCAGGTTAGCAAAAGTTCACCTAAGTACCCGATGTGTCTGAGGGTCAAGCTGACCTCAGTGTTAGCTCAAGTTCAGGTCGGGATTTAGCAAATATGTTTTTCTTGCTTCATCCTTATGGCCTCTGCCAGTACCAGGCACACGTATGGTACATAGACATACATGTAGGCAAAACAGCCATACACACGAAGTAAATACATTAGTAATAATTTAAAATTTTGCTGGGCATGGTGGCACATATCTTTAACCCCAGCAATTAGTAGGTAGAAGTAGAGTGTGAGGTCAGCCTGGTCTACGTGGAGAGTTCCAGGCCAGGCAGGATTACACAGTGAGACCTTGTCGCAAAAAACAAAACAAAACAAAACAAAACAAAATCTCTGCTTTCACACTGAACCTTTATAGTCTACTTTGTGACCTTGACCTTTGGGGCAGGATCACGCCATTCTGCACGACGCATCCACGTTAGTCATTTGAACACTACTTCCCACCTCGAGGTGGAGGACGGGAAGACAAGAAGACGCCACGATTCCCCCAATGGCCAGCGGCAGGGTTTCACAAGTCATTTCCAAGCACCGGAAGTAGCCCCTAGAAGCTCATGGTTATAGCAGCCCTTCGCTAACCTAGGCCTTCTTGCCTTCCTTGTTCCCTCAAGAGTAAAGGAGCCTTCAGCTTGGTCCACCAGCCTCGCAGTCATCTTCAGCCCCGGCATCACGGCCTGGAAACACTATGCCTTACAGAAGACAAATGGACCTGGACTGGGAACCGGGTGTGATTGAAGACGTGGGGGAAGCAGGAGAGATGAAGATCTCGGGATCTGCACACGGGCTGTCAAATGTCATGGCTCGTCATGGGACACGTGTTCAGAAAATCATGGTGTGGGCATGATCTGATGGTAGAGCTATCTGGAGTGGAGTAGGAAAGGAAAAACAGACAGGCTTTGGGGGTGGAACCAAACTGGGAGCCTCACTGTCACGAGCGAAGCTCCGCCCCAGGCTCGGGCCACGCCCACAGCGGTCTCCGCGGTCACGTGGTACGCAGCGGGGCGGTCACCGGAGACTGGGCGAAGATGGCGACAGTGAGGAAGGCTTTCCCGCGGAGGCTGGTGGGCTTGGCATCTCTCCGAGCTGTAAGTGCCCCAGACGGGTGACAGTCGTGGGATCGGGCGGGCCTCGTCAGCTGCAGTGGCGGGCGAAGCGGCTGTTGCTTAGGAGGGTTTGAGAGTTCCGGACCCAGCTGGTCTGGGTCAGATCCCTTGCAAGAAATAGGGAAACTGAGGCGGGGGTCCGGGGTGGGGGGAACGTGTCACGGTGGAGACCTGGGACACCATCCTGGGCGTCCTATCTCCCTTACGGTGACCCTGACTCCTTCCCCTAATTGAGCTTCGGATCTCACCAGCCCTTCTTTAATGGAAAACAATGTTCGCTATGAGGAAAGCACAAGCATCCCTGTCGGCCGCCTTCCTCAGCTCCTGTTGCTTTTATGGACGCCAGGGGAGAACTTGGATCGCATGGGCCGGGCAGGGATTCAATTCTTTCTCTCAGAACTGTTTGGTTCCGGCGTTCTGTCCTCTCCCACGTTATTTGAGGGAAGGGGCCAAAGAGTTGTGCTGGTTAAACCGCAAACTGGTGTGCGGATGATCCTGCCACTTTCCGGGCTGAGTGACAGAGGTGTTTACTCAGCTTGCTTATACATAAAACGGATAGTCTTGTCGCAGGGTGATTTGGTGAGAGACCAGTCAGTCATTGGTGGTGCTTTGTAAGAGTTGGACTTAGGGGCGGTCAGCTCCAGAGTCACTGCTACACCTTCAGCTCAGTGATGGCGCTATTATGATTTTATGTTGGGGAGTTTAGGCATTGTATCCGTACTTGAAAAGACTACTTTCTCTGCAACTCGTGGGTGTCACAGAGAGCCACTTCTGTATCTTTAGTCTACCCACTTCTACCAATTGCTCAGGGATCAAATGAAAATGCAAACTCTAAGAAGTTAAGGAAATTTAACATTTCAAAAATCTTGGTGTGCATGCCTGATGGTGGTGGCACACGCCTTTAATCCCAGCACTTGGGAGGCAGAGGCAGGCGGATTTCTGAGTTCCAGGACAGCCTGGTCTACAGAGTGAGTTCCAGGACATCCAGGGCTACACAGAGAAACCCTGTCTCGAAAAACAAAACAAACAAAAAAAAAATTGGTGTGTACCTGCTAGTGGTGGTGCAATGCCCTCCATCCCAGCCCTTAGGAAGCAGAGGCAGGATCTCTGAGTTCGAGGCCAGCCAGGGCTACACAGAGAAACCCTCTGGACGGGAGCGGGGGCGAGAGGAATATTAAGCAACATGGTGAATAATAATATTTATTTATTTATTTTGGGTTTTTGTTGTTGTTTTGTTTTGTTTTTTTTGGGGGGGGTTGGTTTTTCGAGACAGGGTTTCTCTGTGTAGCCCTGGCTGTCCTGGAACTCACTCTGTAGACCAGGCTGGCCCGAACTCAGAAATCCACCTGCCTCTGCCTCCCAAGTGCTGGGATTAAAGGCGTATGCCACCACTCCCTGGCTGGGGTTTTTTTTTAAAGCACAATCTCTCACATATCTCAGGCTGGCCTCAGATTTGCTGTGTAGCTGAAAGCGGCCATTAGCTTCTGATCCTCCTGCTTCCAACTCCCAAGCGCTGGGCCGAGGGGCGTGTTGGGCCGAGGGGCGGGCGCCGCCACACCTGGCCCGAGTTATATGAAGAGCTGTTGTGCAGAATGAAGTGGAGCTAAGTTCAACCTGTTCCAAAACAGGAAGTTGGAAGCAGGATTTAGTTACTGAGCCTCTGCTGTGTCCCAGGGCCTTGGGAAGAAGAGTAGTGCATAGAACCAGTCCCTGATCTGTGACACTCACACCCCGCTAGGAGTTTTAGATCTTTGTAGTCTGACAGTCTATTGGAGGGAGACTCCATCATAAGAACCTTTCAGCGCGAAGATGTCTTGGGGTGTATTATTGTTACTATTAGTCTCTTTATTAATTTTTTACTTTGTGCATTCGTGTGTGCCTGCATGTATGTCTGTGTGAGGGCTTTGAATCCTCGAGCTACAGACAATGAGCTGCCATGTGGGTGCTGGGAACTGAACCCAGGTCCTCTGGAAGAGCAGCAGCCAGTGCCCTTGACTGCTGAGCCACCTCTCCGGCCCCCTGCTGACTTTTTGTAACTCAGGGGCTGGTCCCCTTCGTTTGTCAGAAAATGTTCTAGCTAAAACCAAAGCCACTTCAGGTGTTGACAAAGCTCCAGCTGATTGCCTCAAGGCCTTCGTGGGCTCGGAGAACTTGGTATCCTGTATGTCTTTCTCTTTGTCACACTGCAGTATGTTTACTTGGGGGTGGGGGGAGGGCTGGAGAGATGGCTCACTGGTTTAAAGCAATTGCTGCTCTTTCAGAGGACCTGGTCTTGACTCCTACAACCTACCTGGTGGCTCACAACCATCAATACCTCCAGTCTTATGGGATATGCTGTTCTCTTCTGACATATGAGGGTACTGCACACATGTGTCATAACATGCAGGCAGAATACCCATACACATAAATAAATAAGTAAGCAAGTTTCCTTAGGTAGTAGGGGAAGATTTGAGAGAGACTCAACAGTAGACTAAAGGCTTTAAAATTTGGAGGGGAGGGAATACTTTCTTCAGCTGCTGGGGGTGTCCTCTCAGAACCACTATCCCTCCTGTGAGCCGGCTTTACAAAAAGCCTTAACATGGCAAAGTCTCTCTGCATCCCCTGTCGCGGGTGCTGAATCTGAGGCTCACTTCTCCTGGGTCTCAGTGACTGCCCTCCTCTGGACAGCTGTGCCCTTTGCTCATTATTTGTTGTTCCTGTAAAGTTACTGAGTGTGTTGCCAGACACAGTGCCAGTTGGAATGAGATGGGGTGGAGAGAACTTTCTGTCTCCGAGCTTATATTGAAGAAAATAGTTTGTAGTCCTGGAAATACAAAATACCTAAGATGGTGGGTTAATAGCTCTTTTGAGGCTGGCAGGAGGAAGGCTCTCTGACTAACTGAATGATTGAGGGCATCTAAGAAAAGTTGAGCATTCCAGGCAGAGGGCAGCCCTGCAAGCGTGAGCAGAGGGTGGAAGGGGGTGGAACAGTAGGGGTGAGTAATGAGGTCAGCCAGAGCTAAACTCTGCAGAGCCTCTAAGGCAGGATGACTAGGGGAAGGAAGGGGTGAGGCAGATTCCGGTCGAGCAGCAGTGTGTATGTGCTCCCTTTTGCAGAGATTGGGAGGATGGGGCCACGTTAGTGAGTGGGTGGTGTGGAGTTTGGGAACTGCTGAATGACAGATGTACAAATGGAACCAAATGGGGGTCGGGGAGGTGGGTCTGAACCAGAGGAGGACCTGTCTGGGAGCACAGCTTCCTTCCTTATTCCTGCTCAAAGCAGTTTGCTTTTTTATCTTAATCTTGACAGAGCCTAGATGTGTTAACTCCCTAGATTTAAACAGGGAGGAATATGGCTGCCTGTGGTAGCGAAGGAAGACCCCTGCTCTCTCTGTAGTCCTGTGCTACCTCCTGACACTTGGGTTTCCTCATTTAAACCCAAGGTGAGCACCTCCTCCATGGGCATGTTGCCAAAGCGGGTGAAGATCGTGGAAGTTGGTCCCCGAGATGGTCTGCAGAACGAAAAGGTAAAGAGGGAAGTCTGCCCAGAAAGGATGATCTGTGCCTCTGTTTTTAGCATTTCAGGGAAGTTGGGTCAGATACATTATGGACCTTGATAACCTGGAATATTATAAAAATGCTAATATTATATAACACTGTAATAATATAATATTATAATAGTATATTAAGTGGCTCAAGACTGTAAAGCAGAATATATATTCAATTTTACTCCTATGTAGAAGAAACATAAAAGGCCTATGTATATGTGGAAGTATTTAGTTAGAAAGGAATATACAACTTTCTTTTAAAAAAGTGTTCGAGGGGGCTGGAGAGATGGCTCAGCGGTTAAGAGCACTGACTGCTCTTCCAGAGGTCCTGAGTTCAAGTCCCAGCAACCACATGGTGGCTCACAACCATCTTTAATGGGATCTGATGCCCTCTTCTGGTGTTTCTGAAGAGAGCAATGGTGAATACATAAAATAAATAAATAAATCTTAAAAGAAAAAAAAAAGTGTTCTAGGAGGGGTGGAGAGATGGCTTAGTGGGTTAAGTACACTGACTACTCTTCTAGAGGTCCTGAGTTCAAGTCCCAGCAACCACATGGTGCCTCACAACCATCTGTAATGGGATCCGATGCCCTCTTCTGGTGTGTCTGAAGAGAGCAACTGTGTACTCATAAAATAAATAAATCTTTTTTTTTTTTTTTAAATGTTCTAAACCTGTGGGCACAGGACTCATGTGGCCAAGGATAACTTTGATGTGGCTCACATAGCATTAATATGGTAGCAATATATGTGACTTTTGAGCACTTGAGTGTGGCTAGTGATGGGGCTGGAGACATCTCAATGGTTAAGAGCACTTCCTGCTCAGAGGACCGGAGTTCAATTCCCAGTACCTATATGGTGACTTAACAGCTGTCTATAACTCCAGTCCCAGGGAGCATGACGGGAAGGCCTCATGAAGAAGGCCTGGAATCAGTAAGACTCATAACACAATCCAACTGGCTGGCACCAAGGAACCATGAAAAACGTTATTATTATTATCATTATTAATTCGTATTTTTGTTGTTTTGAGACAGGGTTTCTCTGTATAGCTCTGGCTGTTCTGGAACTTGCTCTGTAGACCAGGCTGGCCTCAAATTCACAGAGATTCACTTGCCTCTGCCTTCTGGGTGCTGGAATTAAAGGCATGTGCCACCACCTTAAGGTTTATTTTTATTTTTGTGTCTCTGTGTGTGTACCTGTGTATAGCCGCCACATGCATGCAGTGCCCACAGAGGCCAGTAGGGGGCATCAGACCCCCTGGAGCTGTTGGAGTTACTGGGCCTTTATGAGTTGCCCAGCGTGAGTACTGGGAACTGAGAAAGGATTCTCTGGAAAAACAGCAAGGGCTCTTTACTGCCGAGCCAGTCCTGCTGCTCCAGCCCCTCATGGAAGGCTTTAGGGCAGGAAGGTAAGGCAGTGGAGCCTGCAATTCAGGAAGTTTCCAGTGTAGGATGAGTTGACAGAGGGAAAACATGCCCTAGTATACCTGGAACCTTCAGGGAGATTAGAAAGGAACCCAAAGGCTCTGGTGAGTGACCAGATGTGGGGAAGGAATGAAAAGAAGCTATGAGGATAAAAGGGGAGGGTGACATTTGGGGGTCCATCCCACGGCACACAGAGAGCCATGGCGATTCATCTCCACCCACTCCAGCCAAGGCACATTGCTCTGTTTATGATGGGGTCATAGACTAACACACTGAACTACAGAAGAGTCCGCATAGGAAGACAAGGGTATTTCCACGTAAATACGAGCACCTCAGGTAAGCAGCCATCTATGCCAGGAGACATGGGTGGTAGAACCTGGAGATCCTGTGTGAGCTCACGTCAGTGTCTGAAGTCAGTTGAGGGGCTGTTGTAGCCAGAGCTTGGGCTGAGGCGCTGACTGGCGACCGTGGCCAGCTTTCCTTACTGAGATCATTGACTTTGTTCTCTGGGTTTCTATCCACTACAGAGTATCGTACCTACCTCAGTGAAGATCAAGCTGATAGACATGCTCTCCGAAGCGGGGCTCCCTGTTATCGAGGCCACCAGCTTTGTCTCTCCCAAGTGGGTACCCCAGGTGAGCCCAGCCTCCAGAAGAAGCCTGTCCCAGGTGGGAGGGAGGGAAGTCTCCCGTTTCCTCTTGTAGCCGCTGGACGTCCGGGAAGTGTAGGTTTGAGCCTTGAGGGGGTCTCAGGTGAATCTCAGCACAATGTAGCATGGGAAGAACTTGACCTGGGAGCCAGAGGCTCTGATTCAGTCTGGGCTCTTCCCTGGCTTACTGGAGCCATTGCTGAGGAAGGCCTTTGCCCTTTTCAGTTAGAGGCGGCCTCTTAGGTCTCTCCTAGCTCTAAAGATATAGGATCCCTGTGATCAGTAGCATCTGTGTTTGTAAACAGGAGAGCAAGAATTTGTCTTAGTTAGGATTTTACTGCTGTGAACAAACACCATGACCAAGACAGCTCTTCTAAGGACAACATTCAATTGGAGCTGGCTTACAGATTCAGAGGTTCAGTCCATTATCATCAAGGTGGGAGCATGGCAGCATCCAGACAGGCATGGTGCAGGAGGAGCTGAGAGTTCTACATCTTCATCTCAAGGCTGCTAACAGAATACTGGCTTCCAGGCAGCTAGGATGAGGGTGTCTTAAGCCAGACCCACAATGACACACCTACTCCAACAGGGCCACACCTTATAATTGTGCCACTCCCTGGGCTGAGTATATACAAACCATTACAGAATTGCTGCTTCATAGTGGTGGACAAACAATCCCATGATAGCACCAGTCAATGCAGAGGGAGTGGTGCCCAGGACGCCACCAGAGAAGGTCCTTTGTAAGTGGCTTGTGACTGCAGGTACCTCAGAGCTGCCAGTATTGGCATAGGAGCTGCCAAGATCATGCTGTCCAGGGTGTCTCCTGACCCCTCCCTGGTCAGACAGATAAGAAAAGTATTGGAAACAGAAGATTCAGTAGTAAGAACGTTTTCTCTACCACTGAGGTCTGGGCTTCTTTGCCTCCCAGATGGCCGACCACTCTGAGGTCTTGAAGGGCATTCAGAAGTTTCCTGGCATCAACTACCCAGTCCTGACTCCAAACATGAAAGGCTTTGAAGAAGCGGTAAGAGGTTGACTTGTGAGGCCCCTGAGAGAGACTGATGGTTATCAATCCCTGCCTTGTCCTGGGATGTCCCTCTGAACAGCTTGTCTCCAGTGGGGATGAGTAGCATCGGACTGGGGCTGGGGGGTGAGAGGGGCGGAGTCCAGCCCTGTCACTCACTGCTCTGTTGTCTTGATAAATTGCTTAACCCCAGTCAGTTCTGTCTATGAACCAGGAATGATAACAGCACTTACCACTGAGTTGATGCTTCCATAATTAATTCTCAGGCAGAGCTAAGAGACACCGGCCTGCTAAAGCCACTAAGGCCCAGGATCACCCACTTTTTTTCCCTTCTCCTCCTTTTTTTTTTTTTTTTTTTTTTTTTAGGTTTTACTTTATGTATACTATAGTGTTTTGCACCATGTGCATGCAGTGTCTGCAGAGACCACAAGGGGGCATAAGCTCCTTGGAACTGGAATTGCAGACGGTAGTTGGCAGCCATGTGGGACACTGGGGATCAAACCCAGATCCTGTGTCAGAGCAGTGAGTGCTCCTAACTGTTGAGCCATCCCTCCTGTTCATGTCACCCTTCCATAAAACTTGCCACGAAAGAGGATTTTTCCACTGGACCAGTTTCTCCAGGAGCAAAGCGCTGACGGTCTTCACTGGATGTTGGCAGGTAGCTGCAGGTGCCAAGGAAGTGAGCGTCTTTGGGGCAGCGTCCGAGCTCTTCACCCGGAAGAATGTGAACTGCTCTATAGAGGAGAGTTTCCAGCGCTTTGATGGAGTCATGCAGGCCGCGCGGGCTGCCAGCATCCCTGTGAGAGGGTGAGTCAGGCCTCCTGGGGCTCCTTTCTCAGCGCCTTTGGCCTTTGTAGAGTGGAGACGATTCTCCCTCTCAGGCTCCTTCTGGGAACCCCAAGCTCTGCTCCCAGGAACCTCTCTCCAAGTGAGTGTGGTCAGTTTAGCCAGGGTTTCTCTCAGACACAAATTGTTGACTCACCAAGTGTAGGTCAGGCTAGCCTGGAATTTACAGACATCCAGGTGACTCTGCCTTAAGTGATGGAATGACGTATGCCAGCATGGCCAGCTCTGCCATTTGATTCTTACAGTGCTGGGAAGCCAGGCCTGGCAGCAAGGGAACTGGTAGCTCATGGCTTTAAACATGTCTCGAAACAAACAAACACAGACAGAGACAAACAACAGAATTCAGTGCTGGGCATGGAACCCAGCGCCGCTGAAGCTTTGTACGTGTGAGTCCACTACCACTGAGCTGTCTCCGCGCTGAGTGACCGCTTTTACTGTGATTTTCAGGACCTTGTATGTGACACCCTACCCTCTGCAGGATTCTCTCCCTATGCCTTTTGCCTCAGGGTCTTTGTACTCACCCTCCACAGGCACAATGCCTCTCCTCTGTTCTTCTCGGCTCCTGCAGGGTCCTCCTTGGACACCAGCCCCTCTTGGTTTTCTTTGTCACTCAGCAGGAGACAGCACCCTTCTTTAGGGACCAAAACTGATGCCCTGAAACATTTAGCTGTCTAGCTTCTGAGCTCCCCCCCCCAACTCGCTGGCTGTGTTCTGTCCTCCAGAAGAGCCACTTCCCACAGTCCTTGGGTGTGGTGCTCGCTCTCATCACAGGACGACACAGAGAGACCTGAGGAGCAGGTGGAGAACGGGGAAGCTGGTTCTCCTATCCTGTGACCCCAACTCTGTGCTCTGTCTTGGTAAATGCTCCCACACCCTCTCTCCAGACAAAGTATCACTATGTAGCTATGTATCCCTGGCTATCCTGGAACTCAGAGATCTGCCTGCCTCCACCTCCCGACTGCTGGGATCTGAGGTGTGCGCCCTGCACGCCTTTTCTTGCTTAGCAATGTTTGGAGAGTAAATGGGAAAATTCAGGTGGAAAGCACACGGAGATTGGGGAAACGTTGATCCAGCCAACATTTGCTGCATCTCTCTCTCTCTCTCTCTCTCTCTGTTTTTTTTTTTTTTTTTTGAGACAGGGTTTCTCTGTATAGCCCTGGCTGTCCTGGAACTCACTCTGTAGACCAGGCTGCCCTTGAACTCAGAAATCCACCTGCCTCTGCCTCCCAAGTGCTGGGATTAAAGGCGTGCACCACCACCGCCCTGCTTTTTTTTTTTAATTTCATTTATTTTATTTTTTAAGCTTTATTTATCTATTTATTGAGACAGGGTCTCTGCAACTCTGGCTGGCCTGGAACTCACAGAGATCCACCTGCCTCTGCATTTGCCTCCCAGGTGTTGCCCCTAAAGGTGTGTGCCACCACACCAGGCTCCATTTTTTAAAAATACTATTCATTTATTTTATGTATATGAGTACACTGTTGCTCTCTTCAGACACACCAGAAGAGGGCATCTGATCCCATTACAGATGGTTGTGAGCCACCATGTGGTTGCTGGGAATTGAATTCAGGACCTCTGGAAGAGCAGTCAGTGCTCTTAACCGCTGAGCCATCTCTCCAGCCCTCCATTTTTTAATATATATATTTTGCTTCACCATGAAGGGTTTGGTTTGGGGTTTTTTTGTTTATTTGTTTGCTGTTGTTCTGTTTAGAGTTTTTGTTTGGGTGTTTTGTTGTTTGTTTGTTTGGTTAGTTTTTGAGACAGGGTTTCTCTGTGTAGCCCTGGCTGTCCTAGAACTCACTCTGTAGACCAGGCTTGCCTGAAGCTCAGAGCTTCGCCTGCCTCTGCCTCCCGAGGGCGAGGATCAAAGGTGTGTGTCTGGGTACCACTGCCTGAGTGCCTTTTCATTCTTTAGGTCCATGTTGACTATGATCTCATTTTGTAACGGAGGCTGGCAATCCTCCTGCCTCCACCTCCTAAGTGCTAGGATTACAGGCTTGAGCTACCACCCTCAGTGTAACTAAAGATGCCCCAGTGCCAGCAGGTGGTGACAGCAGACACCAGAGACTCCCAGAGTCCTCAGCATTAGCCCGCAAGACTCTCACAGTCAGCCTGGGTGCCGCTCTTGTCTCATGTCATACTTCCTTGCCCCTAACTGTCCCCATGCCTTAAATAGTCTGTTTTTTGCTCTGTCCTGAGCATGCCAGACCCTGGCCCTGACTAAAGCACGCCTTCAGAAGATCTTCCCCTCTGAACTCCAGCGTGCCCTCAGGGAGGTCTGCCTCACTAACCCTTGCCACACTGGCTGCCTCTGCCTCCTCTTCCTGCTGCCTTCACAGCTCATCTCTTTCTGGAATTATCTCCCCTCCTAATGTGACTGTGGTCATATTTACCATCTTCCTGACTTGAAGGAGCTTCTGGAGGCTAGGGCGCATTCTTAGGTCCTCTCCTCGCTCCGTGCCCAGTCCCTGGCACATCCTGTTCACCTCAGTAAATATCAGCTGAGTAAATGAGTGGGAGAGGTATCAGGTCCTCGAGCCTATCCATTCTCGCCACTCTTTTACTAACCTGTGTGTTCACGTTGGCATCACTGACCTGAATACTGGCCCACCCACCTACCCCAGCACACGTGGCTACCCCTCCAGACTCTCAGCTCTACCCTACTTCCTTGTACCTCCTGTGAATTCTCAGCCACCTGTAACCCTGCTTCCAGAACTGTGGCCTCTGAGCCCCGCCTTCCCTGCAGGTTCTCTCTGCTTCTGCCCAGAAGTAGGGCAAAAGGCCTTTTCTCCACTCAGAGCTGACCTTTCACCCAGCACTGGGCCTTCATCTTAGCTTCATGTTTACTGTGGGCTCACCAGGGATGTGTGTCAGAAGGTCACCAGTCGATCTATTGGCAGGAGAGCTGGGGCACTGATGCCGTTCCTCCCCCTTTTCCACAGGTACGTCTCCTGTGCCCTCGGATGCCCCTACGAGGGGAAGGTGTCCCCAGCTAAAGTTGCTGAGGTGTGTGCAGTGGGGCCAGGTCTTGTGAGAGTTGACTTCCTTGCCAACCTGCACGCCCATGTGCAGCTCACCTCCCTTTCCCAGAACACACTCACTCATACACGGGGAGCACAGCCCACCTGCCCCACAGTCACCTCCTTGACAGGTCTCTGCCCCACCTGAAAGCCCCAGTCCAGCATCCGGGCTCATCAGCTAAGGTATGATCTCCAGTGGGGTATTCCCCAGGAACCCCCAGTTTCCCTGGAGTAGGTAAGAGAGCGCACACATCCTCTTGACTAGTAACCATAGGAACTGAGTGTGAGTAACCCAGGAACTTGAGCCATTTCATCCAGAAATCCCCCACTGCCAATTTGATGCTGTTCTTCCATTTACGGTTGAGGAAGCCAGTCACTTGCCACCCTGGGGACAGATGGCAGATTGGGCCTCACCCATTGTGTCCCATAGGCCCCTTTTTTCTTTCTTCCATGTGGCATCCAGTCAGAGGAATGGCCCCTGGCTGCTGTGCCCTGATCTGTGCACCCCACCCCCATGGCCGCTGCCCGATAGCCCATCACCAGCTTCTAGAAGCAGAAATTGAAGCTCACAGAAGTTATAGCCCCCAAAGCAGTAGCCAGTGAGCAGCAAAGAGTGGACTTGAACCTGGTCCCAGGGGTCTGCCATTACTGTCACCTGATAGGCACATGGACAGGGGTGGAGGGTGGGACATCACCATGTCATTTATCAGAATGACCGTCACTCCAGTTCAGGCCAGGCATGGGGATGAGGGATCAGTTGACAGTTTAGGCTTTGCAGTGAGTCAGCCAATTGCAAATGAGCTTCCAATGAATTCCAATTGCAAATGAGCATAGTTCCTGTGCTTCTGTAAGTATCCAAGTAGTATCTTAGACCCACAGTCCACAGATCCTCCTCCAGAGGAAGGGCTTCTCCTGATTCCAGTCAGCACAGTGGAGGAAAGAAATGGGATAGGCATGGGGAAGGGGCTTCTGGAGTGGCTGGCTGGTTCTGGGGCGCAGTTTCCCAGCCGCTGGGGAATGCTGGTCCTTTCCACTGAAACTGTTGGGAGCTATAGCCCAGTAGGAACACAGTACCTCTAATGGGGAGGTGAACTGCCTGGGCAGAGTCCCTGCTTCTGAGCTCCAGTGCCACATGCTGGTGGCTCTGGGGTCCTCTAAGTATCTGTTCACTTCTCCAGGTCGCCAAAAAGTTGTACTCAGTAGGCTGCTATGAGATCTCGCTGGGGGACACCATCGGCGTAGGCACCCCAGGACTCATGAAGGACATGCTGACTGCCGTCATGCATGAGGTGCCTGTGGCCGCATTGGCTGTCCACTGCCATGATACCTATGGTCAGGCTCTGGCCAACACCTTGGTGGCCCTGCAGGTAATGAAAGCCATGTGCCCATTCTCCCAGAGGGCATGGGGTAGGGCAGGGCAGGTTCATTGTATTTATTAATAAAGTATTGAGGCGATGTCTATGAGGCCACAGATGGCAGCACACATAGATTAAGGAAATCGCTTCCCACAGAAGGTAACTGAGACTTAGAGTTGGTTCTTTTCTTCCACCATGTGAGGCTTGGGGATCAAGGTTGTTGGGTTTGGTGGCAAGCCCCTTTACACTCTGAGCTGTCTTGCTGGCCCATTACAAATCCTTTTGGGAATTCTTCAACCTCCCATTTCTTTGGCGCTATTCAAAACAAAACATCTCAAAAAGAGCTGTACCTAGTATCTACTACTCTGGGACTGAGGGGTTAGACTGGTGGCCCAGAGGGGCCTCTCTTGAGGAGAGCCCCAAAGGGTAAAATGGAGCCAGAAGCCAACTATAAAGGGATAGGGGAGGTCCTCTTGCAGAGAGAGTGTGACAGGGGAGACTCGCTGTCCCAGGGAGAGAAGCTCTGTCTGTCCCTCAGTGGATTCCTCGTGACATTGGGGCAGGAGGTTCATGAGGAGCAGCCCCATAGACTCCAGGCACCGCAACAGCCACGGTTCACTGTCTTCATGTTTCCAGATGGGAGTGAGCGTTGTGGACTCCTCTGTGGCGGGACTTGGAGGCTGTCCCTATGCAAAAGGGGCATCAGGGAACTTGGCTACTGAGGACCTGGTCTACATGCTGACTGGCTTAGGGATTCACACGGTAAGCCAGCCTGCCCCCTGGTGGTGACACCCCTGAACTAACCAGGGCTTGCCTGGAGCCGGAGGCCAGAGGGGACAGGCATGCTTGGGGTTGGTGGGACTTCAGCGGGGACTGAGGAAGCTTTCTATTTCTGAGAGTTACCTAGGAGAGTTGAAAGTGGCCGATCTGGAGTGTGAGCCCTCATGGGGCTTGAGGTCCTGACAGAGAAGCCTGGAGTTTGTGTATTACTAACCAGTAGACGAGGGCCTGAGCAGGAGGAGAGGCTCAGTTGGTGACCTAGAAAGAGTAGACGAAGACCCCAAGGGTGAGAAGGAGCCAACCAAAAAGGGAATGAGGACAGAGGTCTCTGGCAGAGGAAGCGGCATGACAGAAGAGACTCTGGTCTGGTCGAATATGATCATGAGCACAGGAGATCAAGGTCGCAGAGTAACATCCACACTTCAGTTCCAGGAGGCCCCCAGAAAGTGTCTATGGAAGGAGCCCTAAGAGGGGCCAGCTTTGTGACCTGCAATGAGTCACCTCCCCAAGACCGTTTTCTCTATGGAACGAGGGCACTCTGTGAAATTAGCCGCATAGGGCTGCACCAGTCTTTAGGACCTCGGTGGTGGCAGAGGTCACACTGCGTCTCTGCTTTGAGATCCGATGGTTGGAAACCCAGATCTCTTCCTCACAGGCTGCTCGACCTCAAAGTATTTCATCTCTCTAAACCCAAATAACACAGTGAGTGGTGTTCTCCATTGTTACAGGGTTAAGAAAATCCATGGCCAGAAGCATAGGTCAGTGACGAGATCCTGGACTAATTAATCGGAAGCATCAGAGGAAACTAAGTAGTGTGCTTGGCCCTCAGGACTGGCCAGCCAGCAGACAGGAGTTCCCGTTACAGACAGTGGGGTTGGGTGATGGAGTGGTCTAGTAGGATAGCCCTTGTCTAGCATTAGCAATGGTCTGGGGACAGTCTCAACACAGGGAAAGAGACACAAAAGCAACCAAAAGAAATCACAGTTCCTGTGGGCAGGCCCTGTGCTAGGCCCTGAACATGGAGATGGGACACCAACCCTCCCACAAACTGCCTGCTAGTGCCTGCCGGAGACAACCTCAGACAGTGTTCACCACGCCACTGTTGCAGGAAGGGCCTGTTTGCTGTCACCTTCCCCTTTCCATGTCACAGCTGGCTAGTCTGTTTGCCTGGGTGTTGAGGGCTTATGCTGACTTTATCATCTAACTTACTTCTTCAAGGGTGTGAACCTCCAGAAGCTCCTCGAAGCCGGGGACTTCATCTGTCAAGCCCTGAACAGAAAAACCAGTTCCAAAGTGGCACAGGCCACCTGCAAACTCTGAGCCCCTTGTTGACCTGCAGACCGGGACTATGGGAGTTGGGTGTGCACAGTGATTCCTGGATGGGGAGAATGGAACAAGAGCAAATGAGCCAGTGTCACAGAGGGGGAGAATGGAATAAGAGCAAATGAGCCAGCGTCACAGAGGGCCCTCTCCTTGATGGAAAGGTCTGAAGCTGCCAGGCCCAGAGCCACTCCCCAGAGCTGTGTGCCTAAGCACTTGCTTGGGATGTCACTGGGTGAGTCTGCTAGCCAACAGTGCTGATGACCACCGTGCCACGACCACAGGTCCTGTGTTCTACCTCTGAGGACAGCACAGTTTCCCCTTCAGCCACAGAGCATTTGCTGAAGTGGTGGGGGTTGATCTGCTGTGGTGGCCGTCTGCCGACTCCAGCATCTCTGGGAAATCTCCACTCTGTCCATGATTTTTTTTTTTAAAAAAACAGCTTATATAATTAAAGGTTTAATTTTCTAATATCCAACCATGCAAACATGTGTTTGTTTATGAGTGAAGGAGTAAAATCATTCTGAGGGAAGAGTGAAGGCTTTGACTGGTTCATCTCTGGATTTCTTTCATCTCCACACCTAAGCCCCCAGGCCAGTGACTGGAAATCATTGCTGTGGGGCTGTTCCTGAGACCAGTATTGGTGGCTGGCCAGGACACCAAAGGGGTTACTTCTAGGACTGTGCCTCTGTCCCCAGAGTAGTAAGCTGGATCTCTCACCATCTCTTATTGGTCTGGAACCAGCTAAGAAGGCTGGGCTAGCCGGCTAGTGAGCCCCAGGAATCCATCCCCCTCTCCTTCCAGAGTACTGAAGATAATAAACTTGGACAATGGTCAGCTTGACATTATTTTTATTTTTATTTTGAGGGTTTCTCTGTGTAGCCCTGGCTGTCCTGTAACTCTGAAATCCAGGCTGCCCTCGAACTCGGAGATCCGCCTGCCTCTGGCTCCTGAGTGCTGGAATTAAAGGTGTGTGCCACTATACCTGGCTTTAGAAATTAAGAATTATTTTAAATTATGTATATACAAGCACATATATATATGTCTGTGTGTGCATATGCAAATACAGGAGCTGAGGAATCCAGAAGAGGGGGTGGGATCACCCGGAGCCATCTATACAGTTGTGAGTCCTGCAGACTAGGAGCAGAGAATGGCGCTCTGGTCCTTAGCAAAAGGAGCGCCTGCACCAGCTCTTAAACGGCTCAGCCTTTCCCCCCACACTTAGAAAAAATTATATCCTGGAGGTGGGGAGGGTGGGAAGATCATGGGGGAGGTACTCGCCTTTAATCCCAGCACTCAGGAGGCAGAGGCAGGCGGATCTCTGAGTTTGAGGACAGCCTGGTCTACAGAGTGAGTTTTAGGACAGTCAAGGCTTCACAGAGAAACCCTGTCTCAAGAAAACAAAACGAAACCAGATCAAACCAACAAATGTGTGGATGACTGCTGGCGCAAATCCCCTGGAGCTACAGGCTGTTGTGAAGAGTGCCCTTACCTGATGGCTATCTGTCACTGGTCTGGAACCCTCTTGTGTAGAGCAGACTGCCCTTGAAACTCACTGAAATCTGCCTGCTTCTGCCTCCCAAGTGCTGGGATTGAAGGCCTGTGCTACCAGGAACGATTTATTTTTATTTTATTATGTATTTGTGAGAGAATGCCAGGTATGTAAGGTATGTACCATGGAGGCCAGAAGGTGTGGGGAGGGGGGGTTGGCATCCCATGGAATGATTAGTGGTATGTGGGTGCTGGAAACAGGACTCAGGTCCTCTGCAGGAGCATTCAGATCCGCTTTGGGTTTTTAGTGGTTTTGGGTTTTTTTTTTAAGATTAATTAATTAATTTATTTTTAAAGATTTATTTATTTATTTTGAGTACACTGTAGCTGTCTTCGGACACACCAGAAGAGGGCATCCAATCTCACTATGGATGGTTGTGAGCCATCATGTGGTTGCTGGGATTTGAACTCAGGACCTCTGGAAGAGCAGTCAGTGCTCTTAGCCGCTCTCCCCGCTTTGTATTTAAACCGAGACAAAACTGTCTTGAGTTGCTAAACGGTGTTAGACGCGCAGACACGCCGTTGGGGGAGGGGGCGGCGTCAGCGATGGGCATAGCAATTGCTACTGTGAGTTTAAAGGTTCCTTCCCTCGTGGGTTACGTCCCGTGTGGACTTGGATCCAGGTCTCGGCCTGGCCAGCCATGCCCTCCAAGTGGAGCAGCCCGACGAAGGTTTGTCACATACAGGGAAACAGTGGCCCAGAGTGGAGGGACGCTGACCCTGCTTCTCCTCCACAGCCCGCCGGTCACCGGACGGCGCCCGCACCCCTCATCTCCGCCCCGGATGGAAACGCACTGCGCAGTCGCTTAAAGCCTGCACAAGTCATTTGTCCCTCCAGGGCCGCCATCCAGTCGGTAACCCAGGACACACGTTTCCTGGAGGGCGTGAAGAGGGCGGGGTCAACCTGGGCTGTCAGGTCTTAAAGGGGCCGCTGCGCTGGTCGCGGGAGGCGGCTCCTGGAGTCAGCGCTGGATCTTCTGCAGGTTCGGCTGGTAGAATGAAGAAGGGTTTAGTGAGCTCGGAAGGGCCAGTGGTTGGTGGGGAGCGAGGGAGTTCCAAGAGGGTCGGTTCGTGTTCGGAACAGGGCCAGGCCCACCCCTTCTGCTCGCATTTTCCGCAGCCCTAGCGGGGGCCACCCGAACCCATTCATTCGGGGGCCCGGCTCCCCGCTCCCTCTCCCAGCCCAGAACCGGAGTCCAGAGCTAAGCTCCGCCTCGCCCGGGCTGTTGAGACCTAGCATCCGCTCTCCTCCCTTGTACAGACTGAAAACTGAAGAGGGGACCGCTGACCAAGGTCACTCCCTAGTCCGGAGCGGAGCGACCTCAGAGCAGTCTTTCTGCCTCCAGAGCCCCCTCAGCGACCGCTTCACCGCGTCCTCGCGCGATGAGAGAGCTGCAGGGAGTAGCGGGGACTAGTCTCGGGGATCCCACTCAGGCAGTTCTTACTGCTGTGTGACCCCAGGCCGACTGCCTCCAGACTCTGACCCTAGTACCAAGTGCTAGTAGAAACAACTGCCTCCTCCAGATGTTGGTAGAATAACGCACAAGTGCGGGGTAGTGATCCTGGTACACGCTGGACGCCCAGTCCAGTGGGTTACAGCAGAATAACCCCAGCAGAAACTTGAGGCAGCTTGGAGAAAGAAGGCAGCGAGCCAGGTCGTGAGAATGAAAGGCCTCAGTGTGTGGATTTCCTTTCTGTCCGCCCAGCAGTTTGCTCAGGGTGGGGATGCACACCTGGCAGCGGAACGCGGGCCAAATCCACGTCGACACCGGCTCACTTGGTGCTGCCCTAGTTGGGCGGGATCTGTTGCTCTAAGCTAGCTGGGCCAAAGCTGAGCTATTGGCTGCCCCGGAGTGGAGTGAAGCTCTACCCACTCCAGGGCTGCTGGTTCTGCAGCCTCAGAGCTAGGCATAGCTTCCCGGGTTAAGGACCCCACCCTCGAAGCTATTTGCAGTTTTTACTGCTTCCTCCCAACCGACCTTCCAGGGGAAAGGTTGTTGGAGCACTAGGTATTACTCATCAAACCCAGGAAACTTTTGCTCCTGGGAAAAGGCTTCAGTTTACAGGGACATATCCTAGCCTTCCATCCTGAGTTCTTCTGCCTGAGACTGTCCATTCTCCAGACATGAAGGCAGGAAGGGTGGGTCTTCAAAAGGCCCAGCTTCCTACCCTATGTCAACAGGAACTAGACAACATGGTGTGTCTGATTCCTATGTATACAGGTAGCAGACCTTTCAATAGCTTCATTGGACCCTCCTAATACATGGTGTGTATACAATAATTAGTTCTAGAGGGCTGGAAAGATGGCTCAGTGGTTAAGAGCACTGACTGCTCTTCCAGAGGTCCTGAGTTCAATTCCCAGCAACCACATGGTGGCTCACAACCATCTGTAATGAGATATGATGCCCTCTTCTGGTGTGTTTGAAGACAGATATAGTGTACTCACATACATAAAATAAATAATTCTTTTTAAAAAAAATTAGTTCTAGAGATGAAAACTGTGCCCTAGGGAGGATTCAAAACGTCGCCCCCGATGGCCAGAAACTGATAGTGATCTAGTTAGACCCAGGGCTGATTCTGGAGCATCTCCTTAAACTGGGGCCCACCACTGCATCCTCCAAGATGAAGTTAGGGGACAAGCATCCAGTTGGAGTGAGGCTCTGGGCAAACAGCCTCAGGCACCTCTGACACTCTGTCTTCTAAGCAGGCGCCATGGAGTGGAAGGTGCTGGTCACAGGTGGGGCTGGCTACATCGGCAGCCACACAGTACTGGAGCTGCTGGAGGCAGGCTACTCGCCTGTGGTCATCGACAACTTCCATAATGCCATTCGTGGTAAGTGACGCTGGGTGTGAATCAGTGAGTGGTTTCTGGAGGGGTTGGATACAGGACCCCGTTTTCTAATGTTGAACGCCTCTGCGTGCCCCACCAGGAGGAGACTCCATGCCTGAGAGCCTGCGCCGGGTCCAGGAGCTGACAGGCCGCTCTGTGGAGTTTGAGGAAATGGACATCTTGGACCAGGCAGCCCTCCAGCACCTCTTTAAGAAGGTAGGTGCTGGACTAGAGAGATGGCTCAGTCAGATGCTCTTCCAGGGGTCCTGAGTTCAATTCCCACCAACCACATGGTGGCTCAAAACCATCTATAATGGGATCCAATGCCCTCTTCTGGTGTGTCTGAAGATAGCTACAATGTACTCATACATTAAATAAATCTTTAAAAAGAAAAAGAAGGTAGGTGCTAGCTGGGCATTTAGAGCATGCCTTTAAACCCAGCACATGGGAGGCAGAGGTAGACAGATCTTTGTGAGTTTGGGCCCAGCCTGGTCTACACAGCAAGAGCTGCTCAGCGGGTAGGAGGAGCATCACCAGGTCCTGCGCAGCATCCTGACCCCGGCTTTACCCTGCAGCACAGCTTTAAGGCTGTCATCCACTTTGCTGGGCTCAAGGCTGTGGGCGAGTCGGTGCAGAAGCCTCTGGATTACTATAGAGTTAACTTAACAGGGACCATCCAGCTTCTGGAGGTAAGAGGAAGGGGACACAGACCCCAGCTGGGCCCCAGGCTATCTGGCATGCTGGCCACAGTAAGGGTCTGCGTGGGAAATCAGAGAGGACCCGAGCTGTACTATCTTGGACACATGCCTTTCTTTACCCCCCCAGCCTGTTTCTCACTCTGTAACTGATGCCTGTCGCCTCAGCCCCACCCTCCTAGGGTGGGGAAACAAGTGGGGCTTACCCGTGAGGCACAGACCACTGACCCTCCCCTCCACGGCCAGATCATGAGGGCCCATGGGGTGAAGAATCTGGTATTCAGCAGCTCTGCCACCGTGTACGGGAACCCCCAGTATCTGCCTCTGGATGAGGCCCACCCCACCGGGGGCTGCACCAACCCCTACGGCAAGTCCAAGTTCTTCATTGAGGAGATGATCCGGGACCTGTGCCGGGCAGACACGGTGAGGATCCCTCTCTCCACCCTTTGCTCCGTCCACTGGCCCCCTTGAGCCCAGGATTGGGATCCTGGGTTCTCTCACAAGCAGACAGAGGGTGAGAAGCGGCAGGATTCTGCCCAAGGTCTCAGCAGCTGGTATGCAGGCGCCATCCCTTGCTTGTTGGTAGGGAACCCAGGCAGACACGGCGAGGCTGCAGGTTGGGTTAGGATCACTCCGTGTGCCCAGCCCCACTGTCTGACCTGTACCACACAGGCCTGGAATGCTGTGCTGCTCCGGTACTTCAATCCCACAGGCGCCCACGCCTCTGGCCGCATCGGTGAAGATCCTCAGGGTGTCCCCAACAACCTCATGCCCTATGTCTCCCAGGTAGAGGGAATAACCCCGGGGTGGGCGCAGCCCAGATTACCACTGATGCCAGGCCCTTGAAGAAGTTGACCTGACTTCTGCCGTAGGTGGCAATCGGGCGACGAGAGGCCCTGAATGTCTTTGGTGATGACTATGCTACAGAGGATGGGACAGGTGAGCCTAGGAGTCAGGGCAAGGAGGGAGCCAGGAGCTGGGGAGGGAGACAAGCTTCTCATGGAAGCACTTCCTCTGCAGGTGTGCGGGATTACATTCATGTCGTGGATCTGGCGAAGGGCCATGTAGCAGCCTTGAAGAAGCTGAAGGAGCAGTGTGGTTGCCGGGTAGGGAGCCAGGAGAGGAGCCGGGGCGGAAGCAGTTGGAATCCAGGGTGAAGGGGGTGCACAGGATGAAAGACAGACTCCGTTCAACATCCATTCTCTTGGGCAGACCTACAACCTGGGCACGGGCACAGGCTACTCTGTCCTGCAGATGGTCCAAGCCATGGAGAAGGCCTCAGGGAAGAAGGTAGGCCCCACACAAGCAGTAGGCACCCCCGAACAGCCATCTCCTCAGTACTAGGTGCCTCCAACACAGCTCTTTCTTGTCTGTGGTTCCTGGGGCCCAGGGCCTGGTCGGCTAAGTATCCACTCCTTCCCCTGCAGATCCCGTACAAGGTGGTAGCACGGCGGGACGGTGACGTGGCGGCCTGTTATGCCAATCCCAGCCTGGCCCATGAGGAGCTGGGCTGGACAGCAGCCTTGGGGCTGGACAGGATGTGTGAGTGTCTGACCAACCCAGAAGAGGGCGGAACTGGCTGTAAGGGGAACTGATCGGGCTGTCCTCAGGCAAGCCCTGACCATCCATGTCTGCACAGGTGAAGATCTGTGGCGCTGGCAGAAGCAGAACCCCTCAGGCTTTGGGCCACAGGCCTGAGGACCTCCTTGCCACAAACCAGAAAAGAGCAGCTGCCTGCTTTCCAGTCTCCACTGGACCCTGTACCCTCACGCTCTGGGGCCAAGCTGAGGCCACCCTACCTCAAATGCCAGCTGTCTCTGCTCAGCCCTCCAGGCAGGAGACCTCTGGCTCTCCTGACCAGAAGGGAGCCCAGGGCTTTCCAGCCTATCTCCCCCAGTGTCCAGCAGCTCCTGTGATCCCCAGAGCCTTGGGAGGCCAGGGGGTCTGGGACCATAGCCTCCCCCAGGCACTAACTTACACTGCTATGATTGAGCTTTCCAAAGTATTTAAAATAAAACTGGTTTCTTCTCGTGAGGCAGATTCTCACAGATGGTAACTACCACATAAGGCAGCCTCAAGAGGTGAAGCAATTTCTTTAATTTTATCGGAATCCAGGACAAAACAAGAAAAACACCCAAAACCACATGAAGACAGAAGACAAGACACAACTCCTCCCCCACCACCTCCCTGGCCCTAAGGGGGGACATAGGTGAGGGGGGAGACAGCAGGGAGTTGGGGGCCCTTGAACCTCAATCCAGCCCTACAGGCTCCAGGCCTGCAAGGAAGGGCCATGGGGAGGCAGGGCCCAGCCCCTCTGAGGGGAGGGGCAGGGGGGAGGCCCCTGAGGGACTCTACCTCCTCACTGACCAGCCTGCCCTGGAGCAGGCAGCCCACAGCAGCAAGGGCCCCGGGCCATGGACACATTCGTGACAGAAGCAGCTGCAGTGAGGCAGGAGACGATTATCCGGGCAGAATCACTGGGGAGGGGCCCATGAGGGCCCCACGGGCCAAACCCTGAGGTCACAGGAGGGGGCCCAAAGCGGGGCTAGTGGGTGAGGTCCTGAGTGAGCGGGTCAGCAGCTGGGCCCCTCTCTCCCGCTGCCTACAGCCCCTCCAATACTGCTGCTGGGGCCCACCTCTGGGGAAGTGGGGTAAGAGGGCAGCCCACCCCTGCTGCTGACTTCCAGACGGCCGAGGCCAGCAGGAAGGCCTGGCCAGCCTCGGCGACCTGCCCCAGAGGCCTGTGGGAAGAGGATAGGGTGGGAAGAGAAGGGACAGGGGCTCGACCGGCTCAGATCCAAGATGATGCGGTGCTTGCTTGCTGGGTCCCCTGTGGGCTGGGGGACCGTGATGGGAGCCAGCAACTAGTTAAACCGGAGGCAGAAGTTTCTCCAGAAATTCTTTTACAGCTGCCATCTCCTGGGATGAGGGTAGATTGTGAGGGTCCCTGATGGAAGGAGGAGGGGACACAGGAGTAGGCTATCCCCACTGACCTGAGGGCAGGAGCTGTGCATGACACCTGGGTACGTCTTAAACTGGACCCTGGCAGGCGTGACAACAGTCCGGAGCTTCTCAGCTGTCAGGGCCCCAAACCGAACAGGTACCATGGGGTCCAGCTCCCCATGGCACTGAAGGATGGCCAGGTCCTTGGCACTGCCATTGGCTGCCTGTGGGCCAGACAGAATTTCCAGGGCAAGGTCAGTGCTACATGCAGCATGGCCCCCAAGTCACAGGGACCCTGGAGAGAGAGGGGAGGGACCTGGGAGGACACTCACCTGGGGGAAGTTCCGGTGCAGAGGCAGCCAGCAGCTCAATGCCACAATGCCAGCCAGAGGGTGGGGGCAGGTAAGCGCTGTATAGAGGGACAGAGCCCCACCCTGGGAGAAGAGAATGACAGGTCAGGAAAGAAGGACACATGCACACCTCCCCTCCCCCTCACAGGCTCCTCACCTGCGAAAAGCCACCCAGGACGATGCGGTTGGCAGGGATCCCGTTCCTCATCTCATGTTCAATCAAAGCCTTGACTGGGGGGGAGGGTATGACTGGGTGAAGGAGACTGCTGGAGGCTTGAAGGGAGCAGGTGGGCACTGCCTGGTGCCTGGGGGAGGGGGATGGGGAGGGACTGATGTGGGCGGGCTGGGGCCTTACTGTTCTCTGCGGCCTTCTTGATGCCAGCTTCATCCTCTGGGGCATCTGGACTCAGCCCCATCAGGTCAAACCTGGGCAAGCAGAGGCAGTAGTTGTTGGAAAGCTCTCGCTAGCCCCTTCAGCTCCCCTAGTTTTCCTCTCATCCCCAAACTCACCAGGAGGGCATCACCATCTTCATGTTGAGTGTCACAGGGATCCTGGGCCTGGGAAGGAGGGAGGGCCGAAAGGTCTCAGGAGGAGGAAAGCATCAGTAGAGAGCCCGGGAATGGGCAGAGCTGCCCTTGGGGGGGCCCTCCCAGCAGGCAGGCCCTGTGTTTCAAGTGTTGCCAGGCAACCTGCCACGTGGGGCTGGAGGCTGTGGTTGGGGCATCAGTGGTAACGATGGAGAAGCAGAGACCAAGGCCCAGTGACGGGGTCCAGCTCAGGGTGAGTACTTGGGGGAGGGAAGGCTCCTTTTAGGAGGGCTTGGGTCTCGGAAGCTTAGGGATGAAAAGTGGAACTGGAGCCCATTCCTAGGGCTCCTAGAGCTAAGACTGACATGGCCAGACTGCTCTGAGCCCAAGCCCCAGGAGGCAGCTGATGAAGGGAACAGGCCTAGGACCAGAGGACACCTCCCCGCCCCCACCGCACACACCCCTCTTAGCTGGGGCAACACTCACGCATGGGGACAGATGTACTTGACATGAGGAAGCCGGATGGTGGAGAGAGCGTCAGCCCAGCTGTGCCTGTGGGAAGGAAGAAGAGACAGTGTAGGACAAAGGCCCTCCAGCCCTACCCGAAGAAGGAGCATCGCCCTCACCTCACTCACCCAGTGTCTCCAAGTCCATGTAAAAAAATAACCTGGGGAAAAAAGTCAGAAATGGGACAAGAAGGTCCCCCTTTAGACCTCCAACTCCAGCTCACCTCTACCCCCGCCCCTCAGACCCAGAGGAACCCCAGGTGGGAGCCAACAGATTATTAACCCCTCCTAGCTTCAGGCTAAGCCCGTCTCATACTGCCTCCTCCATGTTTCCCAGCCTGCCCCCATCCACCGCTTGCTGGGGCCTTACCGCGGCCGTTTCCCGCTCAGCTCCAGACACGGTGGCTGCGTCGGTGAGCAGGGGCACAGACATGGTGTTACCACACATACACTGCAGGGCTTCCTGCAGGCTGGGCCTGCACAAGAGAAGGTAGTGGGTCAAAAGCAAAGGCAGGCGAGACAAGCCCACCCAGGCCATAAGCCTTGTGCAGTGCCAGGGGTTCGATTCTAAGCAGAGAGAAAATAAAGGCAGAAAGAAATCTCAGGCAGAGAGGTAGAAAGTTGGCCCCAGGGAACTGGAGAGATAGCTCAGTGGTTAAGAGCACTAGCTGCTCTTCCAAAGATCCTGGATTCAATTCTCAGCACCCACATGGCAGTTCACAACTGTCTGTAACTCCTGTTCCAGGGGATCTGACACGCTCATAAAGATATATAATGCAGACACAACACCAATGCACATAAAACTATATAAATTAAAAAAAAAGAGAGAGAGAGAGAGAAAAAAAAAGAAAGTTGGCTCCATCCCAAGGCTGAGAAGCAGGCCAGCAATCCTCTTGGTCTAGAACTGGCATACCTGGTTTCTGACCCAACCTCAAAGACTAAGCATGGTACATGGGCTGGCACAGGGTTTAGGGGTTGGAAGTGTGGAAGTAGGGGGCAAGGGCAGGCAGGGCATTTCCTGCAGCCTTCAGTCTATAAGTCTCCTATGTTAACTGCATCCTTCCAAGGTCCCAGATATCCCTTTCCTGGAACCCCTCTTCCCTGAGTCCTGTCCTTAGGGAGAGATGGAAGAAACCCACTGAAAACAGGCTTTCAGTCCCACCCACATCCCATCTTCTCCATCTTCCCTCTCCTCCCCTCCTCCCCAGCCCCTATCCAGTCTTCTTAGCAGTCTGGTTCAGTAAGAAATCCCCAGGGCCTCTGGAAGCCACCCATGTCCCACGAGAACCTAACTCCCTCCTGCCATCTTCCACCACAAACTGGTGCTCCAAGCCTTCCCAGTTTCACAGGGCTATACCTGCTGTTGCTGCTGTCGCTGACTCCAAACGGGTCCCCAAATGAACAGGTGTTGGGACTCCCAACACAAAAGAATATCAGGCTGCCTGGCCCCTCCCCATCCTTAGCATCCTCCAAACTCCGGAAGCTTCCGCTACCTGCCTCTGAAGTGTCTTACGGGCGCCCCGCCCTCCCGCAGGTTCCCACCTTCCAGCTCTGACCCCGACTGCCCCTCCTCACGGTAGGATGATCACACAGCTTCTTTCCACACCTTTGATTGTGGGGTTCCTCTTCCCACGGGGAATGCACCTGACACCCTAAGCCAGGATCCCCTTCCTCCTAGACACTGGGGACTCCCACCTCCACCCGGCTCCCACTCTCCAAGGGATGACCCGTCGTCGTCTCCCATTCTCCACAGTGGGAACTTGGGTTCTGACCCAGGGTCATTACATCCCTACAGTGGCATTTGCTGCCCTGCCCCACGGCTCGCCCCTGCCCACAAAGGGGCATTGACCCTGGGAAGCCTCCGCCCCACAATGGGGTCTCCCTCTGCCCAGCGCGCAGCCGCTCTCCCGCCACGCGCGCAGCCCCTGGCCCGGCCGTCCCAGGACTGGACAGCGCCCTCCGGCCACTCCTCGCCGCCACCCCGGGACCCTCGCAGCTTCGCTGCGTGATCGCCTGGATACCTCACTCCCAGGGGCTTCCGAGACCGTTCGGGCGATTCTCCCCTTTCTCCCGCACAGACACACACTCTTCCCCCTCGGCCGCCCCCGCCGGAACTTCCGTTCGAGTCTCGGGAACCCAGCCATCCTGCTGCCGGAAGTAGCCCGGCCAGCAGTACGGAACCCGGAAGCGAGTCCAGCTTTCCAGGGTAGAAGCTGCCATGTTGCCCACAGTGGGACCACTCCCTGTGACGCTGTCCATGTACAGCGTCTGGACATGGCATGGGATTCTCAGATGCCCTTACCAGCCAAGCCCTCCTGGTGGACCTGCGTCCTGGAGGAGAGGCATTCCTCACGGGAATTCTTTAGCATAAAGTTGGCCGTCTTCCCATCCCCATGGGGCAGGGCACACTTCCAGGTGTGGTCTTGGATGTTCACACTGTCGTGTTTTATTAAGATACGTTTTATTGCTTATGTCTCCAGTACGCAGTATCGTATGCATATGTAGTGAAATGGTTACTTTAGTAGAACACTAAAGCATCACAGAGATTTGCTTCCCTCACAAAACTGGTGAATGTTTTTAGCTACACGCCTCCTGTTGTACTGAAGAGCTTTCTCCTTGTTCATCTTTCTTCTTGTTCGCCCTCTATACTGTTTTTCAAGCTGATCCCAGTTTCACGGGATCATAGATGGCTTTACACCCTGACCTGAAAAGACCCGAGATCACCCCGTCCTCCACTCTTATCTTTAAAGATGAGGAAACTAAGGCTTAGAGAGAGGAAGTAAATAAATAGCAACCTCGAGATTACACTGTAATCTGTTTTTCCTGACCGGCTTCCTCAGCTATAAAATGATAATAACCACCTGCTATTTCATAACTTTGCTGGTAAGCCTCAATGGGGCCACATAAACTTGCTTTGAACACTGTAAAATCACAGTGTGAGGCCTTACCCACTTGAAGAAGGACCCTGGGAAAGTACGTAGGCCATATCAGGATACTGATACACTGGCACTGGCAGGGTTGGCTTGACACTGTCCTTGACAAGTGATGCCTTGCAGGTTGCACAAAATGCCACCAGCTGTGAGCTAAGAACAAAAGGCTTTCATCTGGTCACCACTGAGTCATACTGGTAAAGTGGAAATTGGGCTTGGAGTCCAGGGTGAGAGACAAGCTGAACTGAAGGACTGAATCGGAGAGAAACTTTAGGGATCAGAAAACAGGAAATGAGTCACAGGGGTCCCAGCTGCAGAGGACTCAGAGGACTCATTCTTCCAAATTAACCTACACTCGTTTTTGCTTTTGTTTTTTTGTTCCCCCCTGTGAACCCAAAGCAATACAAGCTTGGATGATCAACAAAAACACTTCCCTCAAGACCAAGAAGCAGCTTGTTCTTGTATTCAGGTCATAGGGATGGTGCTTAAAATATGGAGATCAAGGGATCACGATCATGACAAGCCAAAGACCTAGAAGTTGATGTCACCAAAAAAGGGGATAAAACAAGAAGAAAGCAATACAGCTAGCCCCAGTGCCCGCAGAAGCCTGCTGGATTGGTCTGTGGATGGAATACGGCTCTTGTATTTTCACATAAGCCACTGTAGCACTTTTGCAAGTGATGCTTCAAGCCTACAGGCTCAGTTCCAGGAGCTACCTGTGAGCATCTTTTAGTGGAACAAATGGGCTAGTATTCTGGTGTATTGGGTGTTTCGTGTGAATGGTATGCATCCATGTTTTGATCACATGTCAGAGAACAAACTCAAGACACCAGTCCTCAGAACTTGCTACGTAGACCAGACTGGCCTTCAGCTTACAGAGATGTACCTGCCTCTGCCCCTCGAGGACCGGGAATAAAGGCATGGACCACCATGCCCAGCACTTTGTTATTGAGGCAGTCTCTGGTTTGCTGTTGAGTTGTGTACTCCAGCCAAGCTGGCCCGAGTGCTTCGAGGGGAATGTCCTGTTTCTGCCTAGCTCACTGGGATTATAGACATGTGCATGCTCTGTGACTTTTCAGCCAGATCCTGGGAATCTCAACTCTGTCAGGCTCAAACAGCAAGCGCTTACCAGCAGAGCCATCTCCATGGCTGGTTTGAGGCTAACTTCACTTTTCCTCTTAATCCAAAAATTTTAAATGGCCTTTATCTTGATGCTAGGAACCCATCCCAGGCTACACACATGCTAGGCAAGTGCTGTCACATGTTTTGTGACAGAGCTACACCCTGACCACTAGCCCTTCTAGTCTTGAGAATTTTCCGAAAAGCAGGTTGGCGAGAGTCTAAGTGCACTGAGCACTGTTCATATTCTAGTTTGTTTCAGAACTTTGATTCCTAACAATGCTTAAAAGCCAAAGACCATTTTCCAAGATCGGGAGAAAGTGGCAATATCCTCCTGACAAGGATGGGGTATTCTTCAGAGAATTCTCCAGGGCCAGATTCAGCACTTGCTCCCTTACCAACTCTTGCTACTTTCTGAAAAAAGTGGGGTATCGGATGCTTTCAGCCACTGGGATTCTTGCCAAATGCAGTGTTCACCACAAAGTAATAGCTCACTATCCACACCCCTACTTCTTGTGGTACCTCCAGCGGCTCTCCTGTGTTTATATGTATGGTTGTTTAACCTGCATGTTATGTCTGTGTACCATGTGAATGAAATGTCAGCAGAGACCAGGAGAGAGCATCTAACCCCCTAGAACTTGAGTTACAGTTACTGAGCCACCATGCAGGTGTTGAGAAACAAACTCGGGCCCTCTGGAAGAGCGGCAAGAGCTCTTAACTAATAAGCCATCTCTCCAGCCCACAGCCTCCCTTGTTTTTACATCTGTTACTCCACAAGTTACTTCCCCGTCATGAGAAATGGAACCTAGGTTTCTAACCCCAGCATCCTTTTTACAAAATGCAGAAGGGGGAATGTTTCTACCATACTGTTCAGAATTAGGCTGAACCTTTCCTGGAGGAACTGATGTAGTCTTTATTTAATTGTGACATGCATGATCTACCTAGATCAAAAGAAAACGAGATTCAAGTTCAATCCAGTTCCTAGTGAAATATAAGTTTCACAGTACTAACAAGAGCACAGAAGAAAAGACAGACCATAAGTCTCTAAGGATTTATTAGGAAGCTCATTAGTCACCATGAGTGAAAGCCATGAACAGAAGGAGCAGGGTCTCCAGACCCCAGCACTGGGTTTACAACACAAGTTAGAAGCAGGTCAACACCAAGGAGGTCCCAAGGGGAATCTTTACTAAGTTGCAGTCTTACCCTAACCCAGTCACCCACGCAGAGAAAGGACTCTATGTTCTCCCAACTATTTGGCTAGACAGTGTGAAAGACCTTTCCCAAGCAGTCATGTACCAGGAGACTTCTTCCTTTCCAACCCCCATCGTAGGACACTTGTGTGTGACATATGACACCAGCTGGGCACCCTGACACAAATGCTGAGCAATGACAGGAGGAGGAGCAAGCAGGGACGCATGTTTCTAGTTGGAGACCCTCCTGATGGCTAATTCAAACACAAAACTCGGGTTTCAGAAGGATTCCTACAGCTGAGGAAGCTTCCTTTTTGAAGAAGGACAAACCACACAAGAAATCTGCCACAAGCAAGAAGACACATGGGATCCCATGGCCACAGACCGGAAAAGTGAGCATTATTCATGACTGTCAGATGCCACCCAGCCTAAGACCCAGATTCTGCAGTCCCTTAGAGAAAGACTGTCCCTTGGCACCCACACCGCTCCTGGTGGTGAGGCGGTTTTCACAGGCCAGGTTCCTGCAGCAACCTCAAGACCAAGCCTGGCCAAGGCTGTGGCAGGCAACTCTTGCTGGAGCATCCTGTCCTTCCCAGCAGGCGGTCGCACATCTTCACTGACAGCACATCTGAGGGAGCCCTGGCTGGCCCTTAAGAAATGAAATGTGTCTGAGGGGTGACCTGATGCACCCGGTGGTCTGCTGGGTTGGCTGACGCTTCATAGTTGCAGATGGTCACCTCATGACGGCGAAGCTACAAGAAAAAGTAGAGATGAGGTCAGTGGTCACTGAAGAACACACACCCTGCAGCTCCTTGCCTCATGTCCTGTCTGAAGTGCCCTCTTCAGACACCTTTGACCTAGAGAAGCCAGCAAAGACCTCTATCTGCTCTCAAGGCTTCTCAGCAGCTGAGAAAATCCAGGCAAGAACAGGAACTTGTCTAAGGAACTTATCATCTTATCGCTGGTGCCCAGAACAAGAGAATGTCAAGGACGTGTGACAGGTGGAACATGGCCTCCTGTGTGCTAAGCAAGAGCCCTGTAGCAAAATACACATACCACTACACACATATAACCATGTACACACACAGAGAAAACACAGGAATAGTAAAAATAAAAGAAAACTTATAGTCTAGCCACTGAAGACAGTTACGATGAAATCTAAAGAAGCCAGGCACTGAGGAAGAAGAGGCAGTGGATCTGTGAGACCCAGGCAAGACTGGTCTATGTAACGACTGCTAGGCCACCTATGGCTATATAATGACAGCCTGTCACAAAACAAACAAAAAACCAAAGGGACAGTGAACAAATGGAGCAACCAGCCCCCCATTTGTTCCTGCCCTTGGTGTGCCTGCGCCATGGTGTAGACATACATTTACCAATCTCTCTTACCTCAGTCCACTCTCCCCTCAGGCCAATATAAAAGATCTTCGTGGTATCTGCTCCAAAGTTTTTTGAAATATGAATGGAAAGATGATAGACATTTGAAAACCGGGAAATTCTAGAGGATGGAAGAGGAAGGGAGAGAAGACACAGGTTACCGTGTGGTCTTCATCTCACCACCAGCGAGGACGACAGTTCAGTCCCACTTTGTAGGCAAATATCAGGACACTCGATCCTTCATCGCCAGTTTCCTTCAGAGCAGCAATTAGTGAGGTAAACATGTACTAAGCACCTGTTAGACCTTGTCTAAGGTGAAGAGACAGAGAGATGAAGCAGTCACACACCTGGCACGTGACATATGCCATCACTATATACAGAAGGCAGGGGCAGGAGGATACAAGTTCAATGACAGTCTGGTCTACAAGTAAACTCCAGCTCAGCCAGGCAAGACTGTCTGGGGGAAAAAAAAGAAAAGAAGGAAGAAAGAAAGGCTGACTGGAGAGACGGCTCAGCGGTTAAGAGCACTGACTGCTTTTCCAGAGGTCCTGAGCTCAATTCCCAGCAACCACATGGTGGCTCACAACCATCTGTAATGGGATCTGACGCCTTCTTCTGGTGTGTCTGAAGAGAGAAGACAGTATACTCACGTACACAAAATAAATAAATCTAAAAAAAAAAAAAGAAAGAAAGAAAAAAAGGGGGGGGGGGGTGAGTGCTATCCAATGTTCCTAATGTCAAGGAACAGGAATGGTGTATGACCAAACAGGGTTCTAAGCCATATTTATTGTGTTGACTTCATTAAAGAAGGGACCAGGTGGACCAGGTGACTGACTCTGCCTAAGCCTACTTCAGAGGAATTCTACAAACATCTCTCTTACGCTATACTTGCTGCTCACCCAGGACTGCCCAATACTTCCAAGTCAACAAGTCCATGGTGTGCACTGATCTCTGCCAAGAGCAGCCACGCCAAGGATCAAGCTTTCTCTGCTGTTTTAACTCCAATGTTCAGAAAGCAGGACACTGGCCAAAACACAGAGGCAAGCTCACAGGCTTCACACTCACTGCAAGTGAAGAAAAGCCATGGGCAGGCAGCATGTCCTCTGGGAAGACAGATAGAGGAGGACTGAGCTCAAAGCTGGCTGGGCTATAGATGAAGACCATCTCCAAAATGAAATGAAGGACAGACAGCGTGGAGAACAGGTGCCAGGCTTACTTTGTAGCATACTCTAATTCTCCTGTAATATCTCGGTTCAGACTAAAGGTCTGGTCTGGCTCCCTTTCTGTGTCATCAAATGACATCTGTGGAATGTTCTTGTACCTGAGGGGTAGGGGGGAGAAAAAAATGACAAGGAATATGCATTATTAAAATTTTCAGTGTTTTAAAACTCCCTGCTGACTGCTCAACTAGCCTCAGTTCCATCAAAAGATCAAAGTTAGGATCAGAATGGCATTTTCCTGGCATTTACATATATCTTTAGGCCAACTACAAAGCTGAAAGCTTGCCGGCAGCCCTAGCTATGAGGGAGACCAAAGCAGGAGGCCTGCTTGGGCAGAGTTCATTCAAGTATTGCGGGCAACAGAGCAAGATCCCACCTTGAAAGAAAGACGGAGAAAGAAAGGGAGATCGGGAGGGAGAAGCAAGAAAAAAGCTAGGAAGCACAGCCTAACCCAGGGGCATCTTCGAGTGGCCTGAGATCCTGAGTCACGTGCAGGGACCACAGAGAAGAATGAACTCAGCACATTCAGCCCACACCGAGATGTGAAGCAATAAAACAGCTTACTCGTGGAAAATGCATACTTCAGCAGAAGCACATTTGACACAGTAAGAGATAAGATCGGGCAGCTCAACACTCAAGCGGGTTTTGTGTCCAAAAACCACCGGAACAGCATCATATTAGATTTCTTTCCATTTTTTTGTTTATTTTCCTTTTTTTCTTTTCTTTCTCTCTCTCCCTCCCTCTTCCCTCTCTCTTTTTTTGGACACAGGGTAGCCTTGGCTGTCCTAGAACTTGCTAGGTAGTCCAGGCTGGCCCTGAACTAAGAGATCCACCTGCCTCTGCCTTCAAATGCTGAAATTAAAGGCTTATGCCATCATGCCCAGCAATATGTTTTAAAATACTACAATCGGGGGTTTCTATTTCAAAAAGAATACATAAAAGACCACAAACTCATAAGACTTTGGAAAGTTAAAACTGCCAGTAAAGAAAAATATTAAAAAAAAAAAATACTACCACCACCTAAGAAATTCGGAAGCACTCAGCTCCACGCCACTTCAGGGAATTCTCTTAACACACTCACAAAGAAAGAGAGGTGCATTTTCACTGCAGTAGAATGTGTGTCACTTATGAAGGCAAGTGTTTGCTTCAAAGTGTTTCTAAGAGCCGTCCACAGCAGGGTAATGACAGTGAGCACTCGTGAGCAGCATTATGAGGCAGGGCAGCACTGTAGTTAAAAACCCAGGCTCGATTTAAAGAATGACAGGAAGAGCATGCAAGCTACTCTGACACGGGTAAATAGTGTCCAAAGCACATAGGGAAGTCAACTGAAGCACAAAAGAGCACAGAATCTGATTAAAGAGCAGGCAAAGGATCTGAAACCTCTTCTCCAAAGACATGCAAGCTGACCATGATGACACATGCTTGTAATCCCAGCACCGAGTCAGAACCAGGGAAATTCCAAGTTTGAGGTCAATCTGGGTTATACTGTAAGACCCTGTTGTCTCAAAACCCCACAAGGAAACTATTCAAGAAGTCAACAGGAGCCGGGCGGTGGTGGCGCACGCCTTTAATCCCAGTACTTGGGAGGCAGAGGCAGGCGGATTTCTGAGTTCGAGGCCAGCCTGGTCTACAGAGTGAGTTCCAGGACAGCCAGGGCTACACAGAGAAACCCTGTCTCCAAAAACCAGAAAACCAAACAAACAAACAAACAAACAAAAGAAGCCAACAGGAATATGAAAAATGTTCAGAGTCACTAATCAAGAAAACGCAGATCTAAGCCACGGGCTTATCCTCTCAGAATGGTTACTACCAAAAAGACAAGGAGGAAATATTAATGAGGAAGGGGAGAGAGGGGACACACAAACAAACAAAAACCAAACAAACAGGAAATAGAAATACCATGATCTAACAATTCCCTTACTGAGTGAATACCCCGAGAAAGGAAACGAGTCCGGGAGAGACATCTGCATGCCTACTGCCATCTGCTGCTCATTACGGCACTATTCACAAAGTCCCTCAGACTCAACCTCAGTGCTATCAACAGATGAATGGACAGAGAAAATGTGACATAAGTACACTATGGGACGCTATTCAGTTATAAAAAGACTAAAATCTGTCATTTGATGCTATGGAGACGAGCTTAGGAGAATACTACGTTAAGTGAAGTAAGCTAAACACAAGACAAATGCTGCACGCGCTCACACCCAGAAGCCAAACGGGTTACCTCACAGACACAAGAGCAGGGACGACTACCAGAGCCTGAGAGCTGGATCAGAGGGAGACGCTAACTAGCACCAAGATGCAGTCAGGTAGAAGGAACACCCTCCAGTAGGTACCCCGTAGTATGGGAGAACACTGGTTAACAACTGTTTACCCGGCATAGTGATCCAATGTCAGCAAGTGGAAGGCAGACACAGGAAGACAACCATGAGTCTGAGACCAGTGTGTGCTACAGAATAAGATCCCCTCTGGAAAAAACAAACAAACAAACAAACAAACAAAGCCTTAAGAAAAGCTTCTCGCTGGGCAGTGGTGGCACACGCCTTTAATCCCAGCACTTGGGAGGCAGAGGCAGGCGGATTTCTGAGTTCGAGGCCAGCCTGGTCTACAGAGAGTTCCAGGACAGCCAGGGCTACACAGAGAAACCCTGTCTCGAAACACAAAAACAAACAAACAAACAAGCTTCTCAGGGGCTGGAGAGATGGCTCAGCGGTTAAGAGCACTGATTATTCTTCCCGAGATCCTGAGTTCAATTCCCAGCAACCACATGGTGGCTCACAACCATCTGTAATGGGGTCTGATGCCCTCCTCTGGTGTGTCTGAAGATAGCTACAGTGTTTCTCAGGCATGGTAGTACACCTAAGCAATGGAAACAGGAGTTCAAGGTCAGCTTCAGCTACACTGAGTTAGAAACTGTAGTGTGAGGCCTAGTCTCAAAACAAAAAACAAAAAAAAACAAAAAAAAACCAGCCAGGTGGTGCACACCTTTAATACCAGCACTTGGGAGGCAGAGGCAAGCGGATTCCTGAGTTTCAGGGCAACCTGGTCTACAGAGTGAGTTCCAGGACAGCCAGGGCTACACAGAAAAACCCTGTCTCAAAAAACCAAAACCAAACAAACAACCCTGTCAGGCGTGGTGGTACACACTTTTAATCCCAGCGCTGAGGCGGCAGATCCAGGTGGATGGATCACTGAGTTCTAAGCAGTCCTAGTCTACAAAGGGAGTTCCAGGACCAGTCAAGGGACTAGAGATGTGTCTCAGAGGTTAGGAACAACAGTTTGGGTTCCCAGGCCCACGTGGTGGCTCACAACTACCTGTAACTCCAGTTCCAAGGGATCCAGAATCCTCTTCTGACCTCTACAGATTATTGCACATATATGGTGCACACACACACACGTGTTTACAGTCTCAGCCATACACGCATCTCCATAAAATAAAGCAAAGCATAAAAATAAACAGTGTCGGGGCTGGAGAGATGGCTCAGCGGCTAAGAGCACTGACTGCTCTTCCAGAGGTCCTGAGTTCAATTCCCAGCAACCACATGGTGGCTCACAACCATCTTTAATGGGATCCGATGCCCTCTTCTGGTGTGTCTGAAGATGGCTACAATGTACTCACATACATAAAATAAATAAATCTTTAAAAAAAAAAGGAAAAAAAAAAAGATAAACAGTGTCTGGAAGTCATGGAGCAGCTAACAAGTGAAAATGACCTCTCTTTGTTCCACAGACCATACTCTTAACCAGAGAACCAGAGGGAGAGCAGCCTGACCCAAGCTAGTCAATCTGTCCCCAGTAACTAAGTATCCAAAAAGTACCAAAATTATCAGACCAAACATCCATTTTCCTTCAAATGATTCAACACAGAGATAATGCTTTTAAAGATTTATTTTTATTGTTTTTATTTATGTGTTTCTGTGTGAGTGACCACACATAGGTGTGTGTAACCAAGGAGCCCAGCAGAGGGTGTCTGATACCTCTGGAGTTACAGATGATTGAGCCATCCAGTGTGGGTACTGGGAACGCTCTGGTCTTCTCCAAGAGTGACGGGGACTGGCCCTGAGAGCTCACAGGCACCAAATTCCCTACTGCTGAGCTATATAATCTTAGCCCCAAATTGAAATTTTTATTACTTTAAAACTTTTTACCAATGTTTTCTTATAACAGGGTATCATTCCATAGCTCAAACTGACCTGGGGCTCACTATATAGTTCCACCTAGCCTTAAACTCTCAGCAATCCTATCTTAGCCTTCTAAGTGCCAGGACTATAGGCATGAAATACTGTACCTAGCTCATTTTTTTTCCTTAAGATTTAATATCTATGTGTATATGTGTGTGCCTGTGTAGGCCTATGCGTCTGTGTCACGTACATGCAGGTGACTAAGGACACCAGAAGAGGAAGATGGATCCCCCTGGAGGTACAGGTAGCTGTAAGCCACTTGACTGTGTGCTGGGAATCAAATTCTGGTCCTCTACAAGAGCATTAAGTGCTTTTAGTCGCTGAACCATCTCACTCTGGTCCCTTCACTTATTACGTATCTGAGTGCTTGCATGGATGTCTATGGACCTCATTTGTGCATCCAGTACCCTCGGAGAACAAAAGGGTGTCAGACTCCCTGAAAATGGAATTAAGAGATGGTTGTGGCCCATCATGTGGTGCTAGGAATCGAACCCGAGTCCTCTGGAAAAGCACCCAGTGTCCTTAACCACTGAGCTATCTCTCCACTCTTTTAATACGTGTGTGTGTGTGTGTGTGTGTGTGTGTGTGTTTGTGTGTGAATTTAAGTCTGTTTGCTTGTGTGGCAGCTAGAGGTCAACCTTGGGTTGAATGCCATCCTCCTTCTTTTGAACAGGGTCACTTACCGGCCTGGAGCTCAGCAGTCAGTTGAGCTCCAGGGAGTCCAGCCAGTGAGCTCCAGGAGTCCTGTGTCCAGGACTGGGATTATTACAAGCACATTCTTATCACCATTTTCACCTGGAGGCCGAGGTGCAACTCAGGTCCTTGTGACTGCCAGGCAAGCACATTACTGACTGAGCTATGCTCCTAGCTCTGCCTTGACAATTTTCAAGGTCTTCTCAGAACTCACAAGGTAGATTCCTCTTCTTTCAGAAAGGCAAACTCTCCAGCTGCAGACTATAAGTGGAGGCAACAGCAGCTCTGGAACTTTGCTGAGGCCACACAGATGCAGATGGAGCAATTCCACATTAGCACAACAGCATGAAGATAGTAACTACACAGTGAGAGGAGCCATAAGCAACACTCGGGGCCTGCAGCTAGGTTAAGGAAACTGCATAGTCATCAACAGCTAGCATCAGTTTTACACTGTCTGAATGATGGTGCCACCGTCAGCAACTGGAAAGAGATAAGCAGCTAGCCCCAAGGATGTTTACTCTAAGACAGTCACTGGGCTGGGGAATGAGGCTCAGTGGTAGGGCAGGTACCTAGCACTCACAAGGCCTAGTGTTCTATCTCCAGCACCACAAAACACACACACACACACACACACCACACACCCCAGCTGGGTAGGGTAACACTCAGAATACAGAGAAAGCCAGATCTCTGTGACTTCAAGGCCAGCCTGGTCTACATAACAAGTTCCAGGTCAGCCAGGGCTACACAATGAGAACCTGTCTCAAAAGAAATAAAGCCATCTGGGCATGGTGGAACTTATCTGTAACTTGGAGGTAGGAGTTCAGAAGACACAAGATCCTGTTTCAAAAATAAAGCCAGATATAGATACAGATATAGGTATAGATACAGATATAGGTATAGATACAGGTATAGGTATAGATACAGGTATAGGTATAGATACAGATATAGGTATAGATACAGATATAGGTATAGATACAGATACATAGACAGATAAATCCCTCGAAATCCCGCTCTCTCTACTGTCCACAGCAGGGTGGCCATACCAGGTTTTTACTTGGGTGTTGGGAATTTGAACTCTGATCCTCATGCTTGATGCAGCAAGCCCTCTAACCCACTGAGCCATCTCCCTCTCCCTGGAATAAGATATATCAGAAAAAAAGCCAAGTGGGAGTTTCAGCCCTTGCTACTCACAGTCTCATCTCCGAGGGGTGTGAGTCATCGTCCTCGCCCATTATGATGACGCCTTTGAGCTTGACATTGCCCGTAAATCTGCCAGAATGCGAAAGAGAAGATTGTCTACCTGGGATTGAACCTGGAGCTGCTGTGTGGCCCTGGTAAGACCCATCCCTCTCTTAGTTGCCTCATCTGCCTCCTGTAGTCCTTTCAAAGGCCCTGTCATTCCACACCTCCAAGAAATTTACCTCAGTTATTAATTCCACAAATGCATCTGTTTCCAGTCACACACACAAAAGCTACCGTAGTTTCTTTCTCGAACCCACCAAAGGAATCGATCCCATTTCTACAAACAGGTGTGCACTCTTGACATAGCCAATAAATGAAGCCATCTGAAGAGAGAACTGGGTACAGCCTAGTCTGCCAGAGGCAAGCACCAAGGAGATACTTACGGAATATTAAACAGAAGCTCTTCGTCCGCATCACTTTCAACAAACTGGGATGCAGGGGGAGAAAGCAACAAATATCTGCTGAGAACCTACAATTTCAGGCATCTTAACTCCCTGTTCTACAAACTGGGTTGCGATGCGAATGGACTTGTACCACCAACCCGCGCCCAGGTCCTAAGAGCTTGGAGCTGCTGAGTCTCAGTGTTCTAGTCACCACGGCCCCTCCAGAGGGATTCTAATGGGGGTTTTCCGGGCTGCGAACCCAAAGACCAGTGCTTATGTGTGTCCTTCTGGGGAACCTTCAAATGGCTCTCAAAGGAGTCTGGGTTCCAGGTTAGAAATACGGATCGCGACCCCAGGCCAGGTGAGGCCATCGGATAGCCATGTGGCCCAATGGTCAGAGGGAGAAGCAGCAGTCCTCTCTGCTCTCCTCCCTCACATTCCCTCGCCGCCTTGGAATGGAGGCAAAGCGCCCACCTTGCTCCTCTGGGCCTCAGTTTCCCTGTCTGTCTACCCTGCGAGGCCCCGCGGCTCCGGGCCGCCCGGTCCGCCCACCTTGGAGCGGTCGGTCCGCTCCTCCCACGGCTTGAAGACGCCGCGGCCGCTGCCCTCGCGGCTCTCGTTGAGGCACTGCAGTCGCTCCAGGTCGATGCGCAGGTACAGCCCGTAGGCCAGGCCGCGCTGCTCGGGCGGCTCCTCGCGTTCGGCGGCGCAGCGACAGCCGCCCCCGCCGTGGCTGTGGCCGTGCGACATGGCGACGCCTCACGCCGGCTCGCCTCCGACCGCCTCGGTATCGCCGCTCACCCGGAGCTCACTCCGCTCCGCGCCGGCCGCCAAGCGCCGCGCCTGAAGCGTCGTAAAAGGCGCCCCTGCGCGGCGCATGCGCGCGCGACCTAGCGGGAGGGGCGGGGAGGGATTGACGTGGGACCTGCGCCAGCGGAGCTTGACGCTGGCGGTGGGGATGAGTGGTACCGTTCAAGCGTGCAAGCTGTAGGGCTGGCGACGCGTGGCAGGGACGCGAATCCTCCCCTCCCAGGCCAAAGCGTGCGCTTTCTTTCCTAGCGGCCACTTTTCTCCGGAGTGATTGATGAGGCGGGGGCGACAGCACAGCAAAGCTTGCCTCCTCTCTGCTCCTGGCCCCTCTTACCTCCTCTATCTACCCCCTACTTTCTCCCGCCTCTTTTCCTTCTCTCTCTTTCTCCCCCTTTCCTTACATTTTTTTAGAGCTAGGCTGTACCCCTAGCTCATGTACCCCAGGCTGACCTCAGATGATCTATGTACCTTCAACTCCTAATCCTCCTGCCTCCAAATCCCAACAAATTCAGGGATTAAAGGCATGCACCACCAAGTCTGGTGTTAAGACTTAGTTATTCTTTTATTTACATTTATTATATCTGTATATCTGTCTATCTATCTATCTATCTATCTATCTATCTATCTATCTATCTATCTATCTATCTATCT